GAGTGCATGCATAGTAAACCGGCTTTCGGGCAATTCATTACAAATTCTGCTGACAGACAGAGACTTGCAGGGAAAGCAGCTGTGTGTGCATGGCTCGGAATATCAACAAGACCGCTCTCGCTCGTAGATGGCCTGCAGCTTGAAAGATATCAGCTCATTCACACACACACACACACACACACACACACACACACAAACACTCACACAGAATAGACAGCAGTGTGTACATCAATATCAGTTTAGTATTCAGACCCACAAATCTCTCCCGTTACAGTTAGCAGTCCTGATTAACGCCAGCTGTAGAGAAAGAAAATAATTTGGCTCGGTAATAGGGAGGCAAATGAGGGATTGTCATTATGCAAAAGTGGGGCATGGAATCACAGTTGAATTGTTTTCGAGGATTAAAAAGATTTTACGGCACAGGACCAAGATAGACAAAAACGGTGGTGTCGGATATAACAATCTATGGAGACAGAGACTGAATTAAACCGAAAACAGTGATGGACAGTTACATTAAACAACCAGTCTGACCAATTTCCAGCCTCTCTCTGTTTAAAACCTTTTTTTTTTTTACATCAGACGGGTTACAGAGAGGTCCCAGCTGCTGGAAGCACTTGGTACACTGAGCACATGCGCTTTTGCTCCTGTAACATGAGTTCCATAGTCACTCTGGGAAAACCTCCTTCTGGTTTTCAAGCATTCGTCTAAATGAAAACAACGAGTGGTGATCAGAATGTGAAATCGTCTGAACGTCCTTACCAGAAACATTATATTTCTAGAACATACCGCATAGATTCTGTATTAGGCTGGTGGTCTAATAATTAACAATAATAAAAATTAGATTAGACACATTTTAACTGTGTGCAGTGACCAGCTCTAATGTTGTGATGCTTCACCAATGCATGTTTGAAGCAAATTTAAGAAAAATAGCTTCACTGTCCTGCTTCTTCACATTGATGTCTCATAAAAAAATCCAATTAAAAATCTAACAGGGTTAAAAAGCTTGTTTTGAGGTGAAGGGGAACTTTAAGGGTCATCAACCCTTTTAACTAATGGTAAAATATCCCATGTTGTGCGGATTCTTTGGACTCTTGATTGTCTGAACTAATGCGGTTTTCAGATAATTAAGTTGAGCTGAAACATATTTTTTACACACATGAAATATAACATGCATTAAATAGCCTATTAGTGGGACTAGTGCAGTATGGGGGAAGAAGAATGTCTGCAGCTGTCACACCATAGCTCTGGAGGAGGAAGACAACTCAGAAAAGCAAAGCCTGAAACAATCCGGGGGCCTTTTGGACTTTCCCACTCGGCATTAACTCTGCCACAGAGAGTCCTGGTGCCGCTCAGCTCTTCGGTGTGGCGTGACCAAGCACAGCCCTCCGGGCGTATATCACCCTCTCATCAGCCTCATTTCCAGCCCCGGCAGGCAGTGAAAAAAAAAAAAAAAACCCTGTTAAACCAGCTAGCAAGCAGACAGAAAACAGGGTGCAGAGCTGTGAAATTGGACAGGGATTTAAATTTGTCTCTCCCCGGCTCTCTTTTCACTCCCTACACGGCCGCTTTTCGTGTCTGCGACACCGTGAAAGCCTTCAAGAAGGAGTCTGCGTGACGGCGTTCAAACCTATCTACATAAGGCTCCTCACGCTGAGACCAGAAAGGTACACCGAACTACGCTTGAACGGAGATGGAGGAGGAGGCACTCTGGAAGAAGAGTTCCCCGACACCTCAAAGCCAAAGGCTAAAAATAATTTTGATTTGGATGTGATTGGATGCCTCGATGCATTTGAAGAGGCCTCGAAGGGAAAAATCTTTCTCCATTCCTGTTGCAGCTTTCTTTTATCATTTTAGGTCATTTTGACCCAGACGGCCGAGCGGACCCGTATAAATATTAGAATAAGTGCTTTAATCACTCTCCATTTAGGAGTCCTCAAACATATGCCATGCTTTAAACTGTGCATGAATAGTCGCATAAATCTTTCAGTGCGCACTCATCTACAGCGAGTTCATCATCCAGGGACCCTCGTTCCCTCTAAAGCCGTCCATTTTTCATGGAGCCCTGCTGGTGATGGTGCATGTCCACAAGTAGGAGCAGAAAATGATTACTGTGAGAACTGCAGACACTTTACGCCTCAAATAACAAATAACATTATCCAATGAGATATCTCTCTTTGATTTTTCTCTCTTTCTTTGACTTGCCTCCAGAAACACTGTATTTACCACAAGCTGACAAAAAAAAACTATTGAGGTTGAATTTATTAATGCTTGAAAATGGCGACAAGTGATGTGTAAAAATAGATGGTTTTAAATATAGAATGTAAAGTTTTGCAGAATCAGTGTGAATGGACTTACCTCTGTGATAGTGGGAGGGAGCACCTGGATACGGTCAGCGTTGGGACTGGACCGCAGGGTGCTGGACACAGGTTGTGGACGAACGCCACCGAACCCCGCACTCTGGAAAACTTTTCCAGAGGCATGACTAAACGTGTGAAGAGAATCTGGAACAGCCCACTCTGTAATTACTGACAGGCGGACAGATCTAGACGCTGTCATCTTTTCTGTTGTTGCCCAACACAAAGGAAACATGAATTCATCCAAATATAACAGCTCTTAAGAATGTTTAGAGCCATAAAATGCCACTACTGACTGTTTTTAACACGCCAGTATTCAAAGAACCTCACACAGGGACTTAGTACACACACTATAGTGGTTCCTTTGCACATTTTCCCAAAAATGTCTTGAGTTCTACGGATTTTTGCTGATTTCTATTTTGTAAACTTGTGCGTTTTATCCTTTTACTTTTTCTGGTAGTTTGGGTATTTTGTTATCTCTGGGTTTGGGGATTATTTCCCTTGTCTGAGTTTTCAGGGTTTTTCCTTGATCATTCACTTGTTTCTGCGTTATTAGTTCTTTTTCCACAGTTTTTGTTTTGCGTTTGGTTCCCGTTTATCACTCGTAGTTCTTCAGGTCCCAAAAGCTCATGAGCACTATTAACAACTTAAAAATGCCGGGACAGTAGACATTTGATACTAACCCAAACATCAAACTCAGACGTAACGATACAGATAAGGCACTATGTGTCACTATTTGTATGAAACTGAATGTTATTTTCACAGTCTTGAGGCGTGGCCTCATTGTAGAAACGTCTTTTCACAGTGTTTTCCTTCCCTCACACGTCTATATTTGGAGCGCGTGTCACACCGCCTGCCACACTCAATGAAAAGCTGAGTTCAATTCAGAAGGGTTTAAGTAAGACCATTCTTTTGCTAACTCCTTCCTAACGACCGCTTCACATTAATGTCCGAAGATGGCTGTAAAACAAATCATCTCAACCATGCATATATACCACATGCCCCGCCATTTTGTCCCTCTTTCTGCCTCCTATTTTCTGTCTAATCTTTGAGAAATGTTCGCTTCCACAATAACTTCTGAAGGGGTCACAGGCCTCAGCGACGTTCCACTGGCCCTGAAACAAATCATCCTCCGGAGCTTTGAGAGCGCGAGCCGGTCCCTGGCCTACTATCTGAGCGGTTGAATGGTGGGTGACTTCCAATTTTGGAAGAAAAGCCCGACAGCGATGGGAGCGGCCGGGTCCATTGCCCCCGTCTGACGGGGCCTGTGAGGGGAGCTTATTGGTTAAAATCACTGCAGAACAAAGCGAGATGCAACGGGGAATCAGGACTCACTTCTGCATGAGAAGAATGTTTGAATATAACGTCAGAAAATCTTGAAACCTGGGAGCAGTCCCTGAATTGAGGGTATGAATGAAGCAGGGACACTTTCTCTTTGTGTGAGTGAGCACAGCTGAGGATGGCTGACTTTGAAGTGCAGTAGTCTGGTACTGAAGGACGAGCGGCCGCTTGACTTTGAGCTATAGAAGATGGACGTTCCGAAAGACTGCAATAAATCTTAAGGGTTTCTAGTTGTTGCCCTTCTTCAAATAAGTTGAATTCAGGTACATTTGGAGAAGTAAATGTACTCCTAACTTTGTCACAACTTGGATCTATACAATCAAAACAAGAAATTCAGGATGAGGCACCAATGATTGGAGAATTTACTGGACCGGTTGTTCAGATGTTCTGTTGAGGTTGTGATGTTGAAAATAAAACCTAAAACAAGTACATATTTATACACACACACACACACACACACATATATATATAGTATCTGTGTAAAGAATCTGTTGCTGTTAAATGAAAATGAAATGAAAATGGGAAAACAGCTGCCTTGTAAAAAGAGGACATCAGACCGTGAAAGACATATGATGTGGAATTATAGACTTTGACCCAAACTGAAAAAACAAAGAGTAAAACAAGAATAGGGTTAGAAATGTTGTGGCTTTGCTGTGGCACAAAACTAGCCGGGTATCGTGTATTTGCTAATTCCACCAGATATTAAATGAAAGAGGACTGGAACACGTTAAATAAGCGCACTCTTTTATGTTTTCGTAGTTTGTTTCTTACAGAAAAACCATGCAAAGTCACCAATTCATCTGCAAGTGTGGCCGATTTAGGGTTTTCACTCATCATCACCAGAAAATGGACCTTTTCTCATGTACAGTAAAACAATGGAAGTGCAAAGAGAAGATCAGACACCCAAACAAATGAAGACATTAAAGGGCTGGGTTGCAACTTGTATTTGATATAAAAAATTGACATTTTTTAAAATCAATTTAGTGGAATGTTCTAACAATTTCCAGCTGTAGGTCTGTGGTGAATATGCACTAACGTTTGCAACTCCTGCTCTCACCCTTTTCTTCCCTAAATGCCTCGAACAGATAGCTACTATTTCCATCTTTCACAATGAAGCTTAAGCCTTCAAATCATGTAGGCTTGCAGTATTTGACTGACCACACCCTGAGGAACGCCGGCGGTCACAGACCGGAGTCTCAAACTGCACGTTTACCCACTGATTGACTCATTTCCCCCGGTTTTGCATGGTGTTTATTCGGAAACACGAGCCGTCAGTGTTTTACGAAAGGCGATTCTACATGTGACGGGGGAGGGAGGAGGGGGGGGAAAAAAAGAGCTGGTGCCAGCTGACTGGTGGGCTGGACGGGGGCTTCAATGCAGCTGCAGCTGCTCATTCAGATGCTGAGCACCAGCGGAGGACCAGCGGAGCACCAGCGGAGCACCAGCCGGGAAGCCCCACCACCAGCCCCGCTTCCCCGCCGCCAGCGCCTCTCCCTCCCGCTCCACAGCCCCGCTCCGGCCCGGGGACTCCCCCCCCACACCGCCGGCCACCAGTTAGGCGGAGGGCAGTCCGGGACGCCCACCGGGCGAATTGCGGCAGTAGAAAGCCTGAACGCTCGGAGCCCGTCGTATGAAATGCGTCACCCCGATCCGGTTTCCACACGTCGGCTCTCCGCTCCCGGACCCTTCCCAGCACTGATTGTTTCACCAGGTAGGAATTCAACGGAATTTTTTTCTCGTTTTTCAAAAAATTTGACAGCCGGGGGGGGAGAGAAATGAGATCACGCCGACGTTAAGCTCTGCGTAAAGATGACTTTCCCGTGCTCAGGACAGGGGGAATGGTGTCGGGCTGGTTCTTTTAGGCCTGCTCATTACAATAGATCACGTAGCCCATTGTACTGACTTCTTTATCCTACACTCAAAGCAACCTCTGGTTTTTTTCGAACCGGGGCTCGTGGGCAATTTTCTGTCATGATTCCGTCAAATCCCGTGATTCCCCCCTTCAATTATTCACGGTTCCCCTCATTAATTGCTTTGTGTCGGACCGGTTCCAGCAGCCCGGGGCTTCCCGTGTCCGTCCGGGGGGCTGGTCCGGGGGTCTCTGCTGGCCGCGAGAAGCCTCACGTGCCTTCTTTTCGGTGCAGGTAACCGCATGCGCGGCTCGGTGTCCCCGCGCTGAGCCCGGAGAGCACGAAGGGTACAGGGGTCAGGGAGACCACAGCGGCCCGAGAGGCGGCCCGGGAGGCGGCCGGACAGGCGGCCCGGATGACGGCCGGACCCGCCGAGGCCCCGGGGCCGTCGGTGCCGGTGCACCGCTGCCGCGGGGGACTCCACGCCAGCAACGGCACCTGCGCGGAGCAGCTCAGCCTCTTCCCGCCCTTCTCCTCCGCCCTCGCGCTCCTGGTGCTGGTGGCCGTGCTCGTGGGGATCGTCCTCGTTTCCTTGGCAACCTTCCACTTCCACAAAAGGAAGCTCCGGAACAAGAAGATCCGGCGCGCGCAGGAGGAATACGAGCGCGACAGTCGCAACCCCGCGCGCGCCGGGGAGCCCGCGAGGCCGTGCGTCATCGTCCGGCCGGCGAGGCGCGAGGAGAAGCCCTCGTGCCAGAGCGGAGAGGCGGGAAAGGGGGAGGCGGAGGACCGACAGACGGCTCCTCCGGACTGTTAGCCTAGCTCAACTTCAGGGAACGAGACTGTGGAATAAACAGGAAAAGCAATAAGGCACAAAGAACTCCCACTCCCATCTCCACTGCTTGTAGTTGACTTAGAATTCGTCGGAAAAGCAGAATATTAGCTCTAGGTTAGTCTAAAACGACCGGTGACACACAGGCTAGCTGCGTGGACACACACTCTCCTGATAGTCTCTAGCCAGCCGGTACCTCCTTATGGGACTGTGTAAAGTATTTGCCTGCTTTGACTTTTGGACCTCTTCCTCTTCCCCTGTCTTGTTTAAACCTCCAGGATGTTTAAACTTTCAGTCCCTTCCCTGGGATGCGACACATAGTTGTGTTGAATTATTAAGAGCTGGTGACACAACTCAGACCTTAATGGCTGGCTGATCTTCCTTGGCATGTCCTCTGACACACTACCAGTAGTAGTTAGACTATAATGGATGTTGTGGTGCTGTTAGGCAGCGCAAAGCTGCGCATACGCTGTAGAAGCGGCTTTATTTGTTTGCGTAGTCTTCTTTTCCTTCAATTAAGTGACTTAGCATATTTGTCCTCCGGTGTCTGGCGGACGTCTGTAGGTAGCTTTAGACGGCTTGACAGGATGCAAGACCTTTCGCTGTAGTTATGCACACAGACTTTCTTTTCGTTCCAAGTGTCAGATGGTGAGTTTTAGCGATTATACGGTATTTTCGGTTATGAGTATTTATAATGTATTCTCTGACATGTAATAAACTGAGAATTCTTCCAACGAAGGCTTCCGATTGAGGCCAGTCCCTTCCTTTTTTTGGATCACTCACATTGTATCATAGTGGGCCTATTAGAAACGATATGTCATTTACTCCATGACTTCATTGTAAATGTATGATGGCATTACGCGAGCTGGAATGTTTTGCAGTAACATAATCTTTCTGGAGTTCATATAATCTGCCTTATCAAAGGGAAATATGTAATATTGAAAATTTATAAATAAATCCATGATACCTACACGCTTTGTTAATCTTTTGTTTGGTGTCGGTGCTTTTTTCTGCTGCTCAGGCAATTGCAAAACCGCATGGCAGACCGAACTGAAGGGTAAATCTGCAAAAATCAAGCAAAAAAAAGAAGTCTTACAGCTCATATGATGTATTATGCAAACGGATAAGTAGATTTCAGTGACATCATTCGACTCTCTTGAGCAAAAATGACCTTCTGAAGGATGCTGGGGACCGTGCACGAGGCTCCCTGATCCGGGCCGGCTCCGTACACGGACAACTTTCTCTGCTGAATGCACAATCAGGCCAACGGCGAGCCGAGCAAAGTCACCCGCACGGGCCCCATCAATCCTTCCCCGTCATTTACGGGCATGAAGGTTAGATGTCCGTCTTCTCCACGTCTGCCTGTAATGAAGCCACATCATGTCCTGCCGGAGGGTCAGAGAGGGAGTCTGCGTCTGTCAGCGGGCTGGACCACTGCCAGGACACCGTGTTCCTAATCGTCCCCAACCAAAGAAGGGCCTGAGAATATGAAGCGATCACTGGCAGCCCGCCGGCCCGGCCCAGTGCCCATCTATCTTATCTCATTGGCATAAGCACAACAGAACAAAAGCGTTTTTTTTCCCTGCAGGAAAACAGCCGGAAAGGCAATGACAGATGACTAAAGCCTTCCATGTTTAAACATATGTTTTCTCCAGAGCTGTGAGCCACTTTGAAATCTGAGGATGGAATGTGATTTCAGCATAAGAACATTTTTAAACAGACAAACAAACACTCATTAACACAAGTAAAACGTCACAAACAGGTAACTTCCTCACAGTATTCTACTCTGAAGTGGATGACTTTTCATTGGTCATTTAGTGAAAACACGTCTTCATTTGACCTGACAGTGAAGCACTTCTCTCTAGTAGAGCTGGAGTTAAGTGCTTTTTTTGGGTCTTTTTTTAGGGGGATATATGTCTTGCCAAGAAATGGGATGAGATATTAAAGCTGGCTGCCTGTCAGTGGCAAAGAACGGAGTCGACTGACCACAGATGGTTGAAGCTCAGTGGTGATTTTATAGATGCTGGCGAACAGAGAAGACTGAACGGTGAGAAGCCAGCGGCACTGAGAGAGGAGCTGTTAGGAAAGATGGACTCTTTGTTTTCAAGGATGGAAGGAAGTTAGTGTTAGGAATGAATAGGGGCGAGGTGATGAAAGACCAGGAAGAGATGGATGTCAGTGGATGGACATGATGTCGGTCAAATGTTAGCAGTTTAAGAACGGACGGCTGTAAGTGGCCCCAAAAGAAAATAGATTATTGTATGGGGAAATCATGTCATGAAGCCCTATCGTGGAATTAGTATACACATTTCAGTGCGTGAATTAAGGTCAGTGGCTGAGAATGAATGGAGCTAAATGGTAGATATCAATAGAAACCAATTATTAGGAATGAAAAGAGGTCAACATAGTGGAGTAATTCATTGGTTAGGAGACAAGTGACCATGAAAAGATGGAGCCCCATGCCTGGGAATATTATTGATGTGATTAGGACTAAATGTAAATCAATGATTGGAATGAATGTCGGAGCTCAGTGGCAATTTGATCCATTAATGAATGGGATTGAACGGCAGTTGGGAAATGGATGGTGGTCAGCAATAAAGATGAATTGAGGCCAGAGGTTTGAGATGGAGTCAAGTCAGGAGTAAGTGACAAGGAATAAACGGAGGTAATGGAGGTTAGAGATCAGACTTTAGAAATGGTGGCAATCCCTTATAGCCACTTTTACAATACAAAGCCCCTTTAGACGGAAAAAGACCGAGAGAAGGGCGTTTTGTTTAACGCCGCTATGGGAATAGCCTAGTTTTCTTTTATAGACCAATTTAACAATAATGAGGCCATTTTTCATGGTTCCGTTTTCCGGGGGGATTTGTTTCTCCAAGCTAAATACTTCCCAAGGTGTCTAGGTATCCAATGATCAGCTCTTAAGGGTCCCCGAAACAGTTCATTTCAAATGCAGTGCGATTGCATAATCTCCCGTAACATAATTGGCTGGACCTCACAAACGTTTAAAATTAGAACTAGAGCTTAATATGTCCAGATTTCTTATTCCAAAAGTGGGAACATTTCCACGTGTAATATCTCATGCCAAGTTGAAAAAATTAAAACAAGCTGCCACTTCCATCCATTCTCAAACTCATAAATGGCTGTATTGTCTTTTTTTTCTACCTGAGAACATTTGGAAATTGGTACTGAAATGTTTGAAGGAAATTATCATTGTACAGTTATTTATTGTTTTCAGAAGAACTGGCATGTATGTGGGATGTGTCATGTGGGTGTGAGAATGATGGTTTAAAGATTATAGATAAAAAAACACAAGCAGATACATAAGCATATGTATAAAATAATCTGTGTGGTTCCAAAAGGAAAAGCTGAAGGCAGTGACAGAACACTGGGCTATTAGCGTGGAGACTTGAGCCTTCTCCAAGCGGGAGTGGAGCCGAACACAAGGTGTAAAAAATACTGATTATTAGATTTCCCTCAATGCTCCTCGTTAAACCAACATTCTGCTTGCAGCCTCCCATCCCGTCCACTGTGGAGGGAACGCGGCAGCCAGAGCAGCTCGGGGTGAAAAACCCAACGTTTGCAGTGATAAACACAGCACAGTCTCCTCTGCGTCGTGTGTTGGGAAAAATTCCGCCTCGGCCATGCAGGACGAATCCACCGAGATAAACCCCTCTGTCGTGGTGAGGGGATAAATCCGGCCGGCGTTCGGCTGCATCTTTCTCATATTGATAAGACTTCTCCCCTGACTGTGACTCACTGGGATGATTGTGCCGGGCTGCATTAGCAGATTGCCTCCGCGCGCCATCACAGCGATGAGGGGTGTCGGTTTCACTGTCAGGAAGGAGACTCCCGCTCTCACCCCTGCTGTCAGGGTTCAGGGAGAGCCATTTGTCATCACAAGAGCCATTTTGTAGGCTTCATTAGAGCATCTCAAGCTGCGACTGCCGGGGTACAATAGCAAAGGCTCAGGAAATTACCCGCACTGATCCGTAAAGAAGGAAGAACTAACACGTTTCTTTTTTTTCTCCATATGGTGACAGCTAGATCTAAAACACTTTTATCATCATGCATTCAGACCGGGTCAACAGGTAAAAAGGGTCATTAAACGTGTCACAAATAGAATATTGCTTTGCTGCCTGTCTTTTTTTCTTTTTTAGCTTAAGAGTTGGAAATGTCACTTGGTGTCTGTTATTTATCAAATGTTTTCAGGAAATCAAATGAAGTGGGACAAAGGCTTTTTCAAGGCTGTCTTGCAGGTAGTGACTGTCTGAATTTATACCACAGACACCTCCTTTCTGGTTATCCAACAGGCTTTTGTCTCCGGCAAGCCAAATGCCCCCAGGATTATGCTCTCTTCCTGTTTCATTTTGATATGTCCTTGTGTAGTTTTCCCAACCTACGTAGATTTGGAATCAACTCCAGACTTTATGATCTGATGGTGACAAGCCAAAGCAGTTTTTCCTACCTGTGCAGGAAACCACCTTTGAGTTACCCTCAAATTACCCCTGGATACCTGTAAAAGTGGTGTATACACATAAGAGCATGGTATTTGCTATTTTATCCATTTAGAAAGTGAATATCCACAAATCCAAGTGATAGAATTCCTGTTTCAAACTTTTAGAAATGGGAGACAGTTTCCTTTTGGCTTCTACTAAGCTCACAAAAACAGCAGGAAAATATTCATTTAGACAGTTTTCACCCATCACAACATCCACATGGACAGCCCTTATGAGAATCCATCATTTGAGTCGGCTTGTGGTTTTAATCTAAGAACTTCTCCTTCTATTTTTTAAAGGCGCAACGGCTGAGAGTCTTTTTTTAACCTGCTGAACGAACTCTCGCTGGGTATCGATTTGTGTTGTCCTCACAATGCCGGAGCCCCCGTGCGGGTTACAGTTTCAGAGAGAACAGGGCCGAACAGCGGCTGAATATCCGCCGGCTGAATGTCGACCCCCTCCACCGGTATCCTGCAGTGCGGGGGCTTTAGGATGAGATTACTGATGAATGGGGCGGCTGTCTGCTAACACTCCCTCAGATTTATCGTCGCGTGGCTTCATGTCCTGTACAGTAATCCATTTGGGGGGACACTGTGTCATTTTTCTGACAGCCAAATTAGGGTTTCTGTGCGATTGCTTACCTTTAGAGCACAAAGGCTTGCAACATCCAATCCTGCTCAAAAGGCCAGTGACATTTTTCTTGGGAAAGATGTTATACAATGTGGTTGTAGTTCTCAGTCTGCACATGTGGAGAAGAGATGAGGCTCTGCTTTTCACATGAAGAATAAATCCTTTCTTTCAATCCCATTGCGAAACACAGATCATCGTTTAAATGTATTTTTCATACAGGGAGTTTCTGCACATGTAGCCTGAATAAAAACACGGAAAAAGCCACAATGAACTGACGAAATGATTAAAAATATACTTCATGTGGAAAACGACAGCTGGTGCCGCTCTCCCAAAAGTTGTTGAATTTCTTTTCCTTTTAAGTAATTTAACTGTCCAACCTAGATGCAGTTTGTTGGTAGATTAAATTGTTGGTGGTTAAATTTGACTAGTTTACCTGTGGTGGTTAGCATCCTTCCTCTCATCTCATCCAGCCCACCTGCGACCCCCTTGGGAGTTAGCTGTATAAAAAAAATGGATGGATGTTCCCCTGCAGACGGTTTCCATAGCTACCGTCAACATCACCTACCTACATCTCGACTGTACTTTCTGTAGCAACATGGGTGATTTTCTCCCTCTATGCTTAGTTTTTAATTAAGTGCTTTTGAATGTCTTTGGTTGTTGACAAAGACAGAAATATTAAAGATCCAGTCAGGTCAAAGTTGCACTAGAAGCCGTAAAAACTAAGACAGAATCTGAGGGGAAAGCCTGTGTGCTCAGAGCAAACACACAACACGAATCAGAGCTGGAAAGCTGGGGTCTCAGACAGGGGCTCATTAGAACACGACTACTAACCCAGGCTTTTTCATCAGACTGCTTTTTCCAGTCAGAATCATACACATTTGGGCCTGAGAACAGAGAAACCGATGACAACTCTGTGGTGTGAAACGGGCCAATTTTGGACATTGAAATCCCCTGAAGACTTTTATTACGGCTCTAACAGGAAGTGGTGTTTAGTCCTTATGACCTACTTTGGCTATTAATGCATTCTATTGTAAAAAATAAATCTACTTGACACTATGACCACTATCTATAATCCTATTTACAGAAAAACTGAATTTTTATTAAATGCAATAAAAGCTTTAATGGACAGTGTAAAGATCTAAAAATGTTGGATTTTTCTGTCCCATTTAGGGTTAGAATGACCAAGACTCAGATGGATGCTTCTCTTAAGCCAAACCCTGATATAGAACCAAATACATCTATATTTTTGCATCCATTGCAGTTAAGTGCAAGCGTAAATTTTAAGTGTTTTAAACACGATGAAGCTTACATAAAACTTGTGATGGTGGCCAAACTGGCCCCAGACCACTAGGAGATGTGATCTGAGAGACCTGGGGGTTAAATAGCTTACAGACTTTCATTCATTCATTCATTCATGAAAAGCTAAGGGAGAGAATGTGAGGAGGGAAGAGTTGATGGACTTTTATTTTTTAAACCATTTTTCTAATTTAAACAGCAGTCACATATTAGAAAAATAATCTTTCAATCCACCTACCACGCCTCAATTTGTTTTTTTGTATGTCTGTATAACTCATCCTAAAGCTGAAATTTTGTCATAAAAAGAAAAAATAGAAATGGCAAACGAGGCGGTAAAAAAAATTAACAGACAAAAACAGCCTTTTTAAAAAGGACGTTCCAAAAGCTTCTTTGTGTCCATTTAAATAGCAGAGTCCACTTTACATTTGCCCATCTCCTGCCTTCTTCTGCTTGGGTTTCTTCTTCTTCTTCTTGGCCGGCTTGCTGTCCGCCTGTGTCTTGCTCTTCTTGGCCGGGTTGGGCTGTGAGGCCGGCGTGCCATTGGCTGGCCTTTTGCCTTTAGCTTTCTTGTCAGGTTTCTTTTTGCCCGGTGCTTTCACTGCCCCCGGTTGGTTTGCGGTGCTTGGTGTTTCACCCGCTGGCTCCAGGACGGGCTGGTTCCGCCTTTTCCGTTTCTTTGATTCCGGCAGAAAGCCTTTCTTCTTCTTGGGCGCCGGCTCCTGGCCGCTCTGGCCATCGGGCTTTGCCTTGTCCGCTTTGGGCTTCCTGGTCGTGTGGACAGGAGCAAACGGAGGGTCAGGTCAGCTTTAAACACACAAGCTCCGGCGGAGGACTGGCGTCTGAGGCTAGAACCTGCTAACGGTTTTCACACCGGGTTCAAGAACCTCACGCCATCACGGGACGGGTCGATAACTCACGTCACTCCGAAGTGCTTCATCACGGCCCAGTAGGTGTCCTCCAGCTGACCCGTCTTCTTGAAAGAGATGCTGCTGGTCAGGGACTGCAGGACCTCCTGGAGGGACTCCAGGTCCACCGGATGCTTCTATGCATGCAGGACAATGACAGGGTCAGTCCAGCTAACAGGGTCAGTCTGGGCTAACAGAGTCAGTCTAGGCTAACAGAGTCAGTCTAGGCTAACAGAGTGAGTCCGGCTAACAGAGTGAGTCCGGCTAACAGAGTCATTCCGGGCTAACAGAGTCATTCCGGTCTAACAGAGTCAGTCTAGGCTAACAGAGTCATTCCGGTCTAACAGAGTCAGTCTAGGCTAACAGAGTCATTCCGGTCTAACAGAGTCATTCCGGTCTAACAGAGTCAGTCCGGGCTAACAGAGTCAGTCCGGGCTAACAGAGTCAGTCTAGGCTAACAGAGTCAGTCCGGGCTAACAGAGACAGTCCGGGCTAACAGAGACAGTCCGGGCTAACAGAGTCAGTCCGGGCTAACAGAGTCAGTCCGGGCTAACAGTGTCAGTATGGCTAACAGAGCCAGTCCGGCTAACAGTGTCAGTATGGCTAACAGAGACAGTCCGGGCTAACAGAGTCAGTCCGGCTAACAGAGTCAGTCCGGGCTAACAGAGTCAGTCCGGCTAACAGAGTCAGTCCGGGCTAACAGAGTCAGTCCGGGCTAACAGAGTCAGTCCGGGCTAACAGAGTCAGTCTAGGCTAACAGAGTCAGTCTAGGCTAACAGAGACAGTTCCTCTTCACGCACCTGCTGGCGGACGTGTTTGACCAGGAACTGGCAGAGCTCCAGGGCCTTCACCAGCTTCTCCCGCACCAACTTGCTGTCGGCCTGATCCACCCGGAGACTCTGAAAGAAGACGGCGGGGACCTTATATTCTCAGCTTTTTTTGGTACCTCTGACACATGAAAACAGACCGATTTGATTATTAACGGTGTTGGAGCCTGTTAGAAGTTATTTTCTTATTTTCACAAAAACGGGAATCTATAGTTTGTAGGGGTGGGACGGTTCGCAAAATCCACGGTTCGGTTCGATTCACGGTTTCGTGGTCACGGTTTCGGTTAGGAAAATCTATTATGTCTTGTATAGTCAGGTTAAAACTGAAAGAAAAAAGCAGTGCGACATATCATACATTATTGGGACAGTCTGAGTAGGTGAGATTCTGGCATTGCAAGCGAGGAAACGGTGCTAGTTCCAACATGTTCTTCCCTCTAAATGCAAAGTGGTCCATACAGCAGACCTAGAAACTGCTGTTGGTGCGTCAGATTTTTATCGGCTACGCTGCTTTGCTTCTTCTTCTTGTTTCCTATTGGTGGTTGGCTTTGGGCGCAGTAGCGCCACCTTCTGCTCTGGAGTGTAAACGCTTCCCTCTGAGGAAAAGGAGCAGCGCATGAACCGTACGCAACACACGCCAACCGAACCGAGACAGTCAAACCAAACAGTTCGGACGGTTTTCAGAAACCGTCCCATCCCTAATAGTTTGTGAAGAGAAAAAGCTGAGAAGTGGAGCAGTTCCGGGCGGGTGTGCAGACATCTAATTGGGTCCTTCTCGGCCCTCCACACTCTGGGGGGCGCGTGAAGGACGGCGAGCCGAGCGGCGGCTCCGATCCCCCATTCATCACCGCCACGCCTAATCTCATAAACTTCCTCCGTTAATGTCGTTAAAATGCAAACGGGCTCGCGGCCTGCTGGCGTGTGAACATCTGGGCTCACGGTGGAGGCGGGAAGCGACCCTACAGCCCCGTGCACGCAGAGGAATGCGGCTTTCTATCAGTTCCACCGTGAGAAGTTTGCAGGATCTAAACTGGGGAAATGACAGCTGGAGCATACACTGTGTGTGTGTATATGTGTGTGTGTATATTAGGCATGGCAAGATTCACCGATGCGTATCGGAACATCGGAACGACCTGTGCGATACGGTTGCATCGATTTACAAACGTCTGTATCGGTAAAAACCGCACATAAACTCGAGATGCATCGTATAAAACTACCTGCATCGATACAAACCGATTATTATCTTCTATTATTATAACTTTTTAGAAACGTGTCTTTGAGTTTTAGTTGCGTTTCTTTCCATCCCTGTTTCCATTCAGAGAGACAATCACTCTCTAAGTTGCACTTCCTTTGTTTCAAAATAAAAGGCACAGTTAGCTTGCGTGCCATAACTTGAACTATGTAGTCCATGGTGTACTTTTCTTCTGCATTGCATCGCATCGTATCGCACTGTATCGCAGCATTTTAAATTTTGATCGTTCTGTATCGCAGGAGGTTGGAGAATCGTATCGAATCTTATCACTAGAAATTCCATGAATCGTGAATGTATCGAATCGTTGGTTGTGTATCGAGATGTGTATCGTATCGCCTTGGTGGTGAAGATTCCCATCCCTAGTGTATATGTGTGTGTGTCTGAGCTGGAGGCGGAGGGGAAGCTGAATTGGTGAATCCATCTTAAAAATGGGCAAAAATAACTTGAAAAACATACACCGAACAAGGCTGTCTTTCCACCTGTCCCGTGTTTTGTGGGGGCGGAGAAGCTTCGCCCTCCTGTGATTGGCTCTCCACTTACCGCCCTCAGCTGCCCGGACACCTTCTCGCAGAGCGCCGTCCAGCGGGCGCCGCTCAGGAGCTGCTGGACCTCCCGGCTCTGCATGGCCCGCAGGACCAGCACGCAGGCCTGACCCTGGACACAGAGCACACGGACAGCCTTCAGCAGACCGCTAACGGAGGCAGTGGTGGGGGGGAGGGGGGGGGGGGGGACTCTGTTCTGGCCGGTTTGTTGTGAGGCTCCAGATCTTTTAGAACCGGACCGGTGATCTTGTCGGACCAAAAGCACGACACAAAAGTCATTTACAGTTCTGCTGTGAGGCGTCTGTCATCAGAGAAATGAATGGGAGCAACTGGGGCCTCAACTGAACAAGAACAGTGTCACATTTATACACGCTATGAAAAATGTCAATCAGATTGAGTTCTGTGGTTACTAGGGATGTCCTGATCCAGCTTTTTTCACTCCCGATCCCAGCCTATCAGAGCATGTAGTAAATTTTAAAGTTATTTAGCCTATTTATTTAGTTGTCAGACTCATGTTGAACAGGGATTTACTCTGATAACTACTTAATGGTTAAGACACAGACCTGTGGGTTAGGAGACGCTAATGCTAATGCTCGTGTGGGATCGGAGTTAAAGAAAAACTGGATCTGGAGTCTGGATCGGCATTTTCTCCTGCCGGCTGATACGATCCAGATATCGGATCGGGACAAGCCTAGTGGTTACTGGTCCAAGATGTAATGAGCCAGTCAGACCATAGCTGCTTTATAAGAAAATGCAAAAAAAGAATGCAAGTAAGTAAATAAATCAGTCCTAAAGCTGAAGGTTTTCTAATAAAAAGAAATTCCCTTTTTTGTTAGTCAAAACTGAAACAAAGAGCGAGTTCTGAGACACCCTTTGCCCTTAACACTGATATACCTCAGGATACCCGTTCGAGTCCTGACCTCGACCTCAACCACAACCAAAATCCGTGGACTGTCTGAAGGTGAAATCCATTCAACCAGACGTTTCTGGCCAATATGAACTTAGCAAGCAAACCAAAAACCCGACAAGCTGTTTACAACTTCCATTCATATGTTTGACCTTTTTATGCAATAAAACAGTCATTTCATGTCGTTGCTCTTATCATTGAGCTCAACAGCGCCGTGATGAACGGTGTTCACACTGTGGCCCGGACTGTTTGCTAAAATCTAACAAACGGGGCCTTTGGGAAATTACAGAGATTTATGAAAAGTTACAGCACCCGTTTGAAAGTCAGAGAGCCAATAAAAAAAAGAAAAAAGCAAAAAAAAAGATTGTCACCAGAGTAAAAAGCCAGATGGCACGATAAATCAAGAACTTTAAATCCAGTCTGGTGAAGATACTTCTAGCAGAGAACAATAAGGGTTGTAAACAAAGCTGTTGAATGAATCCGTTTTTGAGAAACCCTTAAGGAGCCTGTGAGCTGCATTTATGATAGATCAGTTCGGAAATAACATTAGACCAAGATTTTATTTGCATTAATGACAGACGGGTTTTTTACCTGCTGGTGTTCTCGGACTGCAGAGGTGATGTACTGCACAGCTGTATCCAGCAGGTTCACGCACAGAACCTGGGAACAAACACACACACACACAGGTTTCGTTTGGCCGTCGGTGCTGGACGGGAGCTTCTTTTTTTAACCGCTCGAGAGGGGCAGCAGGACTCACGGGGAACCTGGTGAACAGGTCTGTGAACATCTGAGTGGTCAGGGGGCTCTTCCTCCGGCTCAGGAAGGAGTCCAGGGCCTCTCTGAAGGTGCCGGACACCCGCTCCACGTCCACGTTTCCCATGAAGCTCAGCTGCGCACGAAAAACAGAGGCGTCAGATAAAGACGAGTCATCGTTGTCATGTTTTTTCTGGCTGCAGTTCTGATTTGGACAGATGCACATGTCGGATCCGCACTTCTCTGCGACAGCTCTGACAGATGCGCCGCAGCCTGGACAGGCAATGCTCATCAGCCGGAACTGATGTTAAAATCAGTAATCAGAAGCAAATATGTAGCCAACACGCAGCTGTCTCTTTCCTTTTTCTTTAAGTCTTTCTGTGTTACTGTGGGCTGGATGTACTAAAGCAAAACATGGAGCGATTCCCTCCTTTAAGCTTAAACTTTAAGCACATCAACTGTAAAAGCCCCACCAAAAAATCCCTTTCTCATCAAATAAGACGTAGCCGACATTACCGGCTAGTTTGCAATAGCAGGTTCATGCGGAACCTTTTTTTGTTGCTCATTCTGCGTTTTATTGGGGCATTTTTTCCACAGGTTCAGGAGCTCAGGTTCGCCCTGAAGGCACGTCTCTGAAGTCAAACCCGCCTCTTCAATGATAAGCAGTTTCAGTTCATCTGCAAAGGCAAGGCCAAGCGTATGAACACGAGGTGTAGAGAAAAAAAAAGTAGAAAGAAAAAACAACCCTTTGATTTTCAGAGCTGATAAGAAAAAAAAAAAAAAACCCTGTCAAGAAATCTGCGGAAAGAAGACAGGTACGTTAAAAAGGAGGCCATGGTATCCAGGGCACTGCCTGGCCTGATAAAGCCCGGAGACGGACCTGGAATCTGTCTGCTGCTGGGCTGGAGACGGTATTAGAGGTGAGGATACGGGAGCTGAGCCGGTGTTGTGTCAGGTCAGCATACCCCGACAGACCAGCATGCCAATAGTCTTACGCATGCGCGAACTGCGAAAAGTAGCGAACACTTGAAGAAGCCGAGGGATCGCCATACCTTTCGTACAAAACTAAAGGGATACTCGCGCGTTGAGGTAGTTTAAAGTGTATTTACAGAAGGGTCTAGCTGCACCTGCAGCCATCTACAAAACGCGTCCCCATACAAAACACACCTCCCGCCCAGCCAATCGTTGATTTTGATTTGGACATTACGTCATCTTGGATACAGATTAATTGAAGTGAATCAAACGTGAGCATGATGCTTACTACCAGTAAGGTTGTAGTTAGCACATAAAAAAGTAATGATAGTCTTGTTCAATGTTGGGATTAAAGGAACAGTTCAATCGATGATCAAATTGATGTACAATTTTGCCACGTTTTTTATTTGCTTATATCTTCTAATTTTCCAGGGACTGCACATGCTTTAAATACGAAATTGTTAGAAATAGCATTTCTAAGTTAATTTGTAAACAAAAGTACTTGACTTTCGGTGTTGTTTTCTGGTAAGTTTGTGTGTTTACCTTAAACTAAGGGTATGCTGGTCATGCGCATGCGTATTGACTATGGGTATCCTGGTCTGTCGGGGTATGCTGACCTGACAGAACGCCGGCCACTCGATATTTAACCTGCATCTGTGTATCAACTGCACGGCTAGCCCGACCTGACCCATGAGCTATGCGACTGACTTCTTTCCCCTGTTCTGCCCGTCCCCGCCCCCGTCCGGCGGTCTGAAGGCAGCAACCCCCGCGGCCGGACGAGGGAGACACGCGTGGAGCGAGAATCAAACGTACGTCGTCAGCTGCCTCTTTGGCTTCGGCGGGAAGAGCTCCGCGCAGCACCTTGACCACGTACAGGGAGGCGCTGGAAGGGAAGCACAGCGTCAGCAGGGATTCAGATGTCTGTTTTAGCTCCGTCATCACACGCAGAGGCGCTACCTGAAGTAGTAGAGACACACGGAGGAGTCGGACAGCTTGTGGGTTTTGGTCATCAGCTTGTCCAGCAGCTGGTGCAGCTCCTCCTGCCTGTCGCCGGCGGCCCGGCAGTACACCTTAGACCTACACAGCTGGTTCCTGGGGGGGGCAGGAAGAGGGACATTGCATTAACTCAGGCGCCATCAGCAGTCACCGGAGGTTCAGGCCGACAAAGAGCGATAAAGGGCCTAAAAACACCACCACAGGGCTGGAAGAGGAGAAGTGGAGCAGTTCCAGGCGGCTGGAACACTTTATCCTCAATGCAGTAATTGGACCAATCAAAACTGTCTTTCCTCTGTGACACAGATTAATCTGTGACGTAACACAGATTAAGGTGCAGATTTTAAAAACAGGCTCTCCAGAGAAATGTTGAAGGTGCCCTTTCAGAGGAGGCCAAATAAAAACCATGTGATAATACTGCTGGATTCTGGCAGATAATCACGCTGTCTGGCCAAATAACAGCAACTACAGCGTCAATGTGAAGTATGAAACATTAGTTCGATGGAAAAAAACAAATCAAAAGGAGGGAAAAACAACAACTGTGGTGGACACCCAGAAAAGCCGTAGCATGAGTCTCTTCTGCTGAAATGTTAGAAAAGTCAAAGGCACAGTAACAGTAAGGAAATGACCACAAGTGGACACACAGTCCTAAAGAGCAGATCGGCCCACAGTGATTCAAAAACAAACAAATGAGTCCTGAATCAGTGCTGGACGCTGGTTCCAGCTGCTTTTACCTGAAGATGTCCGCCGCCCGGCGGAGGAAGTCCTGCTCCTGCTGCCCGCTGCCCGGGCTCATTCCCCTGTCGATGATGTTGAGCAGAGGCTCCACTAAGCTGAGCACCAGGGGGCTGCCCGCCTGCCGGGCCACAAACACCTCAACCAGGTCCAGGACCTACAGCGGCCGCACAGGGAGGACACGGGTTGACGGACTGGAGAAGAAGCTAAGAGGCTAAGCTAAGATGGCCAGAGCAGCCTGGACGGCCTGTTTTCCAAACAATGATAAAGGCAGGGGGTGAGACACCTTGATCTTGAAGTCCCGGACGAGCGCCCTCTCCCGCTGCATCTTGGCCTTCTCGTCCTTTTTGGCCTGGACCTTCTTCTTCTGCTCGGAGAAGAGCGCTGCCAGTCCCTTATCCAGCTTCATCATGGCGTCGTCATCCAGGTCTTCGTCGCTGCTGACGTCCCCCTCAGTGGCCTGAATGATAAACATAACAGAGCTATTTGTCACCTGGACCACAGTGTGCTGACCTGCTGTGAAGCTCCTCTTGAGCCACTGGCCTTGAAATGAGTCTAACTCTACGCATTAACCGTGTTTGGTCATCTGAGGGGGAGGGGCTTGAAGCCAGGAAACCCACCAGAGCGTTCTGCTTCTGGAGGACCTTCATCAGCTGCAAGCGGAAATTCTGGTCCACTTCTTCTGCCTCCATGCCTTCCTCTTCATCATCTTCATCATCCTCCTCCATGGCTTCATCTCCTTTGTCCTCGTCGGAGTCTTCGTCCGAGTCGTCCTCCTGCCAACAGAATGTAGTCGAACGTTGGCCCCGAGCGTTTGACAGGCGGAGTGGGAGAGAAGGAAAAAGGCCCACCTCCATTTCTTCATCCTGCTCCTCATCGCCCTCCTGCTTTGGCTTCTTCTTCGTCTGCGAGGCGTTCGTGTCGTCGGTGACGACCAGCGCGCTGTCCTCCTCGCCCTCCTTATCCGGGTCCAGGACCTACACAGACCCCGACATGTCAGCGTCACACCTCATTACACGGCAGCTTACTGTCAACACGCCACCTTTCCACCCGCCAACCGTTTACAAGCTCAGCCTTCTCTCTGCAGGATTAGGCGCCACCTGCTGGCGAAACATTGAAAAAACAACCTGTCCCGGGAGGCTAAAGCATTTCCAAGTATGAGAGCCAATCCCACTTTGGAGCCCCGGGTTTGCCAGATAAGAACTGCGCAAACGTCTCGGCTTATTTGCATAATTGCAGCAAACCGTTCCTGATCAAAAGAAGCACACCAGAGATCCCCAACAGATTCTCTGTGTCAACAGTAATGAATTGATTCTCTGTAGAATTTGGGGAATTTCTTTCAACTGCAGGTAAAAATAAATGTCCTGCTTAGCTGGTGGTTTGTTTAGTCTGTTCATTTTCATGCACATCATAAAGGTTGTAATGAGCAAATATGTGGCAATAAGTGGTGTTTTGATAAGTATTATTAGTTTAATATACCTAATCATGAGTAAAAAGTCTTAAAAGCATTACAGAATCTGCTGGTGAACTGAGTATATTCAAAACAACAGCACTTTGTTCCTCATTCATTCTGAACATTGCCTGGTTGATCAAATTATCGCTACGACTTCCGAGAAAACTCTAATGGAGGCTTAACATTCAACTTTATGCTTCTGAAAGTCATTCAGAAAATGGCTGTTGGTGCTGCTTACATCCACGATGGCGGCGAGGGCAGCCGCAGTCACGTGGGGGCAGATGGAGGAGAAGACCGTCCTGCAGACCTGTCGCATGTGTCGGCTCTGCTGGGACAGCAGGGACAGCAGGATGTCCACCATCACCTCCACCCACTCTGGCTCCGCCTCCTCCGGCTCTGCGGCTGCAGCGGGAACATCCACAGCCGCCAAATTAGCATTCATGTGTCAACCGAAATCCAGCGGCTGCTGCCAGCGTGTGTGGGAGGGGCGGCCGGCTGCGTTTGTGTGGCCTTCCGCTACTTTTTGGTGAAAAATAAAATGGGAATGGGATACAAAACAAAAAAAAAGCCCTCACCTGCTTTCTTCTTCTTCTTCTTCTTGGCATTCTTCTGCTGAGCTTTGTCCACACAGCTCTGCAGGTCTTTCATGATGTCCAGAAGCTCTTCGGGGGCCTTCAGAGGAGAAAGCCATCGTAATCACGGTCAACTTTCCCAGTTCCTATCTCACCGGGAGCACGCCGTACCTTGAAGAGATGCAGGCCGACCAGCATGAAGAGCTGCTGGAAAGCGCTGCTCTCCGCCATCGTGCTTTTGCCCGCCGCCTTCTGCAGGTTGGCCACCGACTCCAGCATGCTGGAGGAAGGAGGACAGCGTTTCGTAACCTTTAAACGAGCTCTGGGGGCGGAGTCCTGAGAGCCGGCTCTGCTGGGGGGGCGTACCTGTCCCAGGCCTGCCGCTGCTCGGCGCTGAGGGGCTGGCTGCTCTGGACGAGCTTGGGCTGGTCCAGCAGCTCCTGGGCGTACCGGACCAGGTGGTGGATCCACAGGGTCCCGTCGGCTGTGACCCCCAGCACCCGCTTCTGACCGGCGGCCGGCCCCTCCTCGCCCGGCGGCATGTTGTGCATGGACATGAGGAGCCTGCGGGGGGGGTCAGAGGGCAGTGGGTGACAGGAGAATGGAAGCGCCTGACTGTGGACTTCACGGCTTTCGTTATTGTGGGTGGGGTCAGGAGGAAATTCAGGACGGCCATATTGGTTTGTCCTACCGGGCCTGTGTGATGCTGCTAAAGAGAATGGTCAGTTTGTCCACTTTGTGTTGTCCTATAGAGCGGAATGGCTAACTGCGCTGTGCGTTTGCAAATTAATTTGTGTCCCCTTTGGAATGACCAGGGTTATCATGGTCATTACACAGGTTAAAAGGCCTGACCCTCCCTGCTTTTAGACTGCTTGGTTCTCTTTATGATCGTATGGCATCCAGGACCTGAAGTAACAACCCACTTATTGGGTTTCTTCATATAAACTGCTTTAAGATGGATCCTTGTTGTTAATTGGAATATTTTTTCACTCTGACATGTAGAATAAAAAACATGAGACACATAAGATTACGTTTTATCTTTGCTGTCTGCAGCTTCTTTGACAGGATAAAAACTTTTTCTGGAATATTTCAAACCATTTTTTCTTACTTGTGTTATTTCGCTGCAAATTCTTATAAGATGTCCAGTTTCTAATGAAGACAGATTGTCTTCTTAAGAGGAGAACCACAGAGCTGGTTGAAACTCACCCAAAGAACGAGTTGACCAGCACCCCTCTGGTGACATCGTCCACCGGGGCGGAAAGCTGTCCGTTCGTCTCCGGGATCTTGGGCGACGCCTTCTTGGTCTTGAAGAAAGCGTGGAAGAAGACGAACCTGGGAAAGAAAGGGCACCGTGTGGGCTCGGGGCTGCGTCCTGGCCAGACGGCGCCAGCCCCCCCCGCCGCTCCGCAGAGGGCTGCTCTCACCTGGCCGTTTCCATGATGAGCTCCTCGGGCTTCTTCAGCTGGTAGTTGTCGATGATGGAGGAGAGTCTGGAGACGATCCACTTCCTGAAGCGGGACATCGGGTTCTCCTTCCTGGGGGGGGAAAGGAACGCCGGCGGTTATTCTCCCTGTTCAGTCACAGACTCACCGCAAAACAGAAAAAACCAAAAACTCACCGCTCTCGCCCCTCCGGCTTGTCCTTCTGCTTGCGCGTGCTGAAGTCCAGCAGCTCGTCCATGCGCGGCTGCAGGAACATGGCCTTCAGCCAGTCCACGTAGGCCCGCAGGGCGGCGGGCTGCAGGTGCTGCACCGCCCGCCACGCCGACGGCACCACCGGGCAGCCGCGGTTGGTCAGCGAGGAGAAGCCCACCGCCACGGCCAGCTGCCTGTCCGGGTCCCCGCAGCCCTGCAGGAACGCCGCCACGTAGGCCTCCATCTCCGGGGCCAGCCGGAAGCGCCCCGGCTTCTGCAGGAGGAAAAGGAGCGGTCAGGGTCCTCCTGTCCAGCTCTGGTATAAATGAGCTTTTGGTAAATAGAAAAAAGGTAATTCAAAAGTGTCTGGTTAATGTCTCACTGGCACACAGGGATGAGAAATATAGACAGTTTCCTCAGTCTTTCCCATTCTACGATAAATCCCATTGTTGACCACTAATCCGAAGCGTCCTCTGGACGTCTTGAGACCACTGACCTGGGCCGACACCACGTGCTCTCCGTAGTGCATCATCACCTCCCCGGACAGGACCTCCTTCAGCTGGGCCAATGACAGCAGGGGCAGGGCGCTGCCCAGCAGACGGAAGCTCAGGTAGCTGGACGGAGACAGCAGACCGTGTCAGAGGAAAAGCACAGCAACACCTGGATGACCGGCATGCTGCCGTGGTCATTTTCAGAACATTTGCCGACGCAAAACGGCGAGGGCCCGTCGTCGTTTTGGTTTTTTCTTCTTTCTTTGTTTTGGTTTTTTAACCATTGAATTTTCAATAAAAAGACATTTCTTTCCTTGATTTCCTTGATGTGTCATATTTGATACACACGGTTTCTGAAGTCTTTTGGATCTGAGACTTTTTGTATCATTCAGTTATAAAAGCTTTGCTCAAACCCCTGTTGTACACATTCAGATATACCTGATAACAGCCAGTAGAAGACTACACCAACATATATTTTTGACTTATTGCGCGCTAATTTGATCAAAATAATTTCAGTCTTTTTTTTCTTCATATATTGTTGAGGGGCCAAAAAAAGACCTCAGACTAAAAAAATCCAATATTCTTCCAATCTTTCTGGGACCAGGCTTTAAAGGATTAAGACTGTAAATGATCTTTTCCAAGCTCAGACACGACATTATGTCTAATAGACACAGAATATTTTCCAGAATATTGTTGTCATTTCTTTTAAATCTCCTGTATCATCTACACTGACCGCATTGTAACCAGTGAGCTTTAATCTGCTGACCGTCACTGAATAAAACACTCGCTAAGAAATGGTGGGTTTTATAGAGCCTTTTTTTAACAGAAAAGAACATAGCCACTGTCAAAAAGACAGATGATTCAAGTATTAATACATTCTAAACTCTAGTGTGGACATCGTTGTGTTTCTTAGTGTGGATTCACATGTGGGAATCCAGGCAGAGACTCACTGAGTAGGCCCTGACGGCTCCTTGAACATGCCCTCGACGATGGCTTTGTTCCAGAACAGCTGGAAGCTGTCTTCCTTCAGAGAGAGCTTGAGCAGGTCCAGGGCCACCGGCGGGAGGACCAGCTCCTTCTTGGCTGAGTGGGCGGCCATCTTCAACACTTCTGTCAACCTGTCGCGCGAAGGAAACCCACGTTTGGTTTAGTCCACCCGGCAGACGCACGCTAAGCAAACATTCACGGAGCGGCTCCACATTCCCCCCGGGTCCCGGGCTCTTACTTGGGGACGTTGTCGGCGTTGATGATGGTGGAGGAGCCCAGCAGCTTCTTGAGCCTCTTGGGCTTGAGCGCCTGCGGGAAGCGCTGCAGCGCCACCAGCAGCAGCTGCAGCTGCTCCGGGGTGGTGAAGGCCGAGGCCAGGTCCGTCTGCAGGGCGCTCAGCAGCACCTCCTGGAACACCTCCTCTGGGATCTGGGGAGGGGGAAACGTCGCACGCCGTTAGCAGGCGAGCAGCGCGGCGAGGACGCCAGCGGCCGGCCGGCGGGCGGGTCTCACCTCGGTGAGGATGTCCATCATGGTCTTATTGGGCAGATCCTTCAGGTGCTGCTTGTGCTGGCTGAGACTCTGCAGAAGCTGCACACACCCCAACACCACCTGGGGCTCCTGCAGACACACCAGATGAAACGCAGACCCAGAGTGAGCAGGGTCAGAAAATAAGACTCAATATTCATTTAATCGTCAACATTTGAGTGTTGCAGCAGCAGACAAAAAGCTATCCAAAAAAAGTAGTGTTGTGGAAATTCTGCAGCAAAGGTCTGAGTCTGTTTAAGAGGATAAGAGATAGAAAATGTATTAAATGGAAAACTTCATTAAGTGAGAGCAACTAGCATGTGCCGTGCAACGTATGCAACCTGTATTAAACAATCCTCAAGAATTAGACAAAATACGAGGACTTCTCTTAGCCCTTTAAGGAGGAAAGGACCTTTAAAATACTCAATTGTGGAAATTCACCAGAGAGAATAAAATAGAAATAGAATAGAAAAGAAGAATAAAAAAGAAAATGATCATACATATATTGATTTAGGAACCCTATAATAGAGTAGTGATAGTTTAAGTGGAGAAAAACAACTTTTATCTGGCTATTCTGTAATTCAAGTTTCTCTACTTTTATCAGGGACCAGATCATAACCCTTATACGTTTAAACAATGGAAATCCCAGATGTAGCCATCCAAGGGGATCCAGTATAAGTTGAGTGTCCAGCAGCCTTCTGACCTTACTGATGCGGCCAGACTGATGGAGGGCGAGGACGCCAAATAAGTTTCCAAACATAGCGTTCCTGGCGAGTTTCTGAAAGGTTAAAAAAGAAAAGACAAAGATGGACTTGATGTTTTAACATCCCACTCACAACACTCTCGCTGCTACATGGAAGCAGAACAGGAAAACTCACTTTTTTCACCGAGTCCAAGTTGTGTTTTTCTTTGATTTTGTCGAGGACACTCTGCAGGGAAACATCCTCAAAGGCAGTCAGTACCTGTGAGCAAAAAGGAGCAAAAAGGAAAAGGCTGCATCACACCTGAGCCAAGTCAACGTCATTATTCACCTTTTGACTCGGTTAAGAGTTTTCTTAATCCATGTTGGTGAGTCAATGGGTAAGACAGACGCCCTCTATGGTTACTGCCTTTAGCCATCAGCTCCCACATCTGAGATTTGACTGATTATTTGTTTTCAAACACTTTCTTTTTATTGTTTCTTTTTAAAGAATAAAATGGAATTATGTGAGGAAAAAAGGGAAACAAGCATGAAGACGGGAAGTTTTGCCATGTCTCTGCTGTTTGCTCCCATGTTGTTGCCGTCATGCTGTCGTTCTATAAACAGTCCATTTCTTCCATTAGTCCCAGCATAGTTCTTCTTGAGTTTTTATCTGGTTGAGAATTCCATTACATATTTTATTTACATTTTTTGCCAGTCATGCTGTGTTGGAGGGTCCAATTTGTACCATTTACTTGTGATTTTCAGTAAATATCCGTCCTCTTTTAGAGCATGGCTGCTTGCCATGTTTCCCCGGTACAGTAGTACACATTTCCTAGGTATATTATGACCCAAAAGCCTCCCAAAAGTGTTTACTTTTTGGACAAAACCAAAATACAGTTCTTATGGTTCTGGTCTGACTAACACTAACAGGTAGGAGTCTGACCGGGCCGGTGTCCACTCACCTGCCCCAGGGCCAGGCTGAATCCTGGCCTGGCAGCCTCCCGTGTGTGTGCCAGGCCGTCCACCAGCCTTTTCAGGGTGTACTCCAACTCATCAGCCTACAACACACACATCAAGCAGAAGACACGTGACACAAACGTCACCACAGCCTTTAAACACAGGCTCCCAAACACTACACAGCCTCATGTTACACTGGAAATGAAGGCTTTAGAGACTCTTAAAAAAGTTTGTCATATTATAACTCATGTTATATTACATGGTTTTATTTTTATCGAGTTATGACCTCTGTACACGTTTTATTATGTTTACAATGTACCACAGTCTTTGCTAGTAATGGTTAGCATGATGTCAACACTATTCGTCTATTTTATTCTTTATTCTTTTTTTATTTAAACAGAGGACAGTGCTAACAGAGGGAGTTCAGGGTTTATAAAATCTTAAAAACGATAAAATTATTTAAGGTTTAAAAAAAACCCTGCGTCCAGCCTGAGCCGGTGGTCACTGCCTGCCCCACCTTGTTGTCCGTTTTCAGGTGCTGGACGAGGCTCTCCACCGCCTTCAGCCGGACGTCCTGGTCCGGTTTGGCCAGGTCCCAGAAGAAGTCCAGGAAGGCCCGGTTCTGCTGCAGCACCCCGGCGGCCCGGAGCGGTTCCGCCGCTTTCGCTGAGACTTCCACCATCTCTACAGACATCTGCCCTACCAGCCACGACTTCTGCCCATGCTGCGAACGCACGAGGAAGAACGTGCGTCGTCAGGACGTACTACTTCCGGGTCAACTCGGAATTCTTTTTTTTTTTTTCGACGATATAAACTTTATTTAAACGGCAAAACACACTGACTACAAGAGTTAAAATGATTAATTTATTATGCAATATCTATTTATTATTTGAATTAGATACATATATGATGTCGGGAAATACCTGTGCACGTCTATGAATCAGAAAAGAGCTAATTTCTTCTTTTTTCCCTCAAAAACTGAATTTAAACTTATTTAACTGACCAATTAGTTATCACACAAGACACAAATGTAGCCTTTTATTTTTTATATTGTGGTCTTAAACTACAATTGTTATAATTCATTTAAAATGTTATGTCTATTAAAAAAAATCTGTATAATGATAGCTGGGCCAACCTCCACGGCTGATTATCTGGATTTGTTCTGCAACCAGGACGACAGAACACACCTACAAATATAGAACAGTGTCTGAAAAAAAAGAAATGATCTACAGTAGAATAACTCCTTTAAAATCCACACCTCAGTCTGTATGTAATGCCTCAATTTACAGTACTGAGGCGATATTACACTGGTGAGTGGAACAAGCTCCTGCAGTTAACATCCTACAGAAGTATTTATGTTAGATTGTTGTTGCTGAACTACAGAATCAAGGAATGGATTGGTTCACCACACGCATACACACAGGTAGAAATGTCCTGATATGAAAATGCTGTATGACCAAAAGACAGTGGAGTTTGTTTGACACGCAACTGGATTTTTAATAATGGAAAACTGCTCAGATCACACATCAGATTAGTTTTTTCTTCATATGTAGCAAAAAAAGGGTGACGCATTTGTGTCATGCCAGTTTCATACATAAGTCTCAGTATGGTAAAACACAGGGAACATGATTTTATGTTCCTGATAATTTAGAGAAAATATTATTTGTATATGTAGAAGACGAATATTTTGGGTCTTATTTGGAACAGGTGAGCTGACTGGGACTGCTTTTCACATGAAACGTGTTTAAAGCATGATCTTCATCGTTACGATATCCTTAATAAATAGAACGCGTCACAATCTTTTCAGTTGTGTTTCTTAAAATGTGACCAAGCTCAAACTGGAGCCACATTCAGCCCCAGCATTGTTACTCAGTTGGGTATTCGACCATGTCGACTTGTTTCTATGGAAACTGCAGATACTCATGCTCCCCAGCGGATGTTTGAGATCTGGTTAGCACATCCTGAACAACATAATGATCTGAGGCTGAGGCAACTTATTGTTTCGCTACAATCCTAATAATTCACATCCAAGCATTTTATCTCCATCTTCTCTGAATAAGCCGTAATGTTTTTGCCTTTTTCTACCTAGTGATTTATCCTGTTGAGAAACACTGGGGTTAATAATAAATAATCAAAACACATTTTAAACAGAGATGGACACAATAAATTGAATATTTCCATAAAAAGATATTCTTTATTAAAACGGCATGCAAATTTCATTAGTCCCTGGCCAGGCGGCCCCCGGCCGTAACTCTCACAGTGTGGACCCTCGGGGGGTCGTTCAGTCGGCGGGGGCGGCCAGCACGGCGTCCAGGGCGCTCTGAGCCTCTGTGATCTGCTGCTGCAGTCTCTGCTTCATGGCCTCGTTCTGGGCCTTCCTCAGCATGTCCTGCATGTCTCTGATGGCCGCCCGGTAGCCCGGCGCGTTGTGGAACACGCGGATGGCCTTGTCCCCGCAGCAGGCCAGGAATCGGCCGTTCACGTCGAAGCTGAGGCCGCTGACCTCCTCGCTGTGGACGCCGCGCAGCTCCTCCTCCAGCTGCCCGCTGGCCGCGTCGAACAGCGCCACGCTGCGGCCGTCGGTGACGGCCACCACGCGGCCGTCCGGGGACAGGGCCACCCGGCTGCCCTCTGAGGAGGAGCAGGGCACCGTCTTCAGGAGGTAGGGATCCTGCTGCTTCTTGTACTCCACGTCTGTGTTCCACAGCTTCCACGTCCCGTCTTTTGAGACGGTCACCATTCTGATCAGAGTGAAAAGGAAAACACAGATTAGAACTCTGAATGAGAGAATTTCTGTACCAACGACAAAGGAGATCTGGTAAAACAAAGCTGTGGACTTAAGCTGTTAGTTGGACCATTCTCCAAGCTGCGCACCATCACCAGGGAGGCTACATTTACCTGTGAGAATCATTGGAAAAGGCGAATGAATGGACTCCGGCGGAGTGGCCCTTCAGGTCAAATGCTCGCGCCACTTCTTTGAACTCTCCTCCCTTTCCAAAGCAAACTTCCCACACCTTGACGTCGGGAGTGAAGCCACAGGATGCCACAAACCTGCGCATGACACAGAACACACACTTACACACACCTGGAACATGCAGCGTGTGAGAAAACTGCAGTCAACATAGAATTAAGAGTTCTCTGAATCAGCAAACAGTGATGTCACCAGGTATAGAGCCCACCTAAGCATTACGGCTAATGGGCCATCAAGCCAGAGGTCACCACACCAAGCAGAGGCCTTTTAGCAGGAAAACCTTCAGAAATGTTCCTAAAAAGACCTCTGGCCTGCTGTGGCTGATACATGTCAGCTGCATCACATAAAAGACAAAAGCAGGCGGAATTCAAACATTAACTGAACCTTGCATAAAGGTGCCATGAAGAACTAAAACTGACCAAGTTCCCCACCACTACTTTTGGCTATTTCTTGGTGAAATATATAATCCAACCAAATCTAAAGCCTCTCGTCTGAAACGTGTCCCGACGTGAATGGAAACAAGGCAGACCGCAGGTTGCAGATATTTTGTAGAGAAACATCTTTTCAGGCTCCTTGAAGGAAATCCCACAGATTTTCTCTGGATGTTAGAAGCCTTTTGTTCTTTCAAACCTGCTTTAATGAAGCAGAGCTGGGGCTCTGGGGAGGATTCACCTGAAGATTTCTTCTGAAGGAGGTCTGGCTGATTACTTTTGATCTCTTTCAGATACTGTTCATCTGCTGTAGAGGGTTTTGTTAGAACCGTTAAGTTTTTCAGGACCCCCTAAACGCCATGCTGAGATATGCCAAGTTTTCAGCCGAAAGCTCTGAGAGAATGACCTTATTGGTCCAAATATAGAATCCATGTTTGCAATTTTGTTTTATGTTCGCGTTTTCTGTACATGCAACAAACAGGAAGTTGTCTATTATTAACAGATACTGACACTGGCTAATTCCATATGTGTCAAATCTGAAGTGACGGAGGGCAGGACTAACCTTCCACACGGGGAGACCGCGGCGTAAGAATTGGTCATTTGATTAGTGTTGATCGAGGCCAGAACCTCTCCTTTCAGGTCCCAGATGAGGATGGTGGTGTCTGTGGATGCACTCATGATGAACTTTCCTGGAGAGAGGAAAAAAATGAAAAACGAGACGTTTTCAGCGTTTAGAGATTTGATATCCTGACATCTGAAAGCAGTAACTAAAAGTTAAAGCTATAAACCAACCAACCCCGAGCCTCTCGGGTGTTCTGTACCTGTCTCGGCTATACCAATGTTGAGTATAGCGGCTTTATGTCTCTGTGGAAAATCCTCGGGAGCAGCTTTAAAGTTAAACGTGCCATCCTCCTTCTTGATCATTTTGAAGATTCGGATACTGTCTCCGTTGGCCAGCCAGGTGATAAAGGCCCTGCAACAGAAACGAAGCAAGGCGGTGAAGGCAGGGCGGGGATTACCGTGTACCCGAGCAGCGTGCCTCCAGTGGAGTCTTTAAACTGTGAACTAATCTAGATCTCTGGTTATAAACTGACCTAAACAATATCAATGCAGATTACTGGTGTTTTGTTGGCCTGAGTGTTGTTAAGTCGTCAGGTCGCGGTATACAGAGCAGATACATGTTGCACTGGTTGCTCAGATGGATCATTTATCAGAAGGCTGATTCTGTGACAGCTTTCGGTCAGTAGCAGACCTGGAGTCTGGGCTGAAGCGGACCAGCGTGGCGTGGTCCAGCTCCACATTGGCTCGCAGACACTTGTGTTCCCGCTCCAGGAAGTCTTTGGTGCTCCAGATCCGGACGGTGCGGTCGTCGGCGCAGGAGGCCAGGTATTTCCCGTTACTGCTGAAATCCATGCACGTCACCTTCCCACTGTGGCCCTGAAAGCGAGAGAGCAGAAAATACATAAACTCAAAAACACTCACACTAATGCGCTCTGAAATGCTTCATATCTGTGGCCACCTCGACCTCTGAGGTCTACGTATCGACAATTATGTGCACAAACAACAAGCTCTGCCAGACTCTCGGATTTCCTGTGACAGTAATTCTCCGTTTCACCTTCAGAGAGGCTGCCAGCAGCGGATGGCTGAAGCTGTGCTGTGCCGGTTTGTCCTTCCGGATGCGCTGCTTTTCCTGCTTCTGCTTCTTGGAAGTCGGGCCCTTAGCAACACTGGCTTCAGCTGAAAGACAAACAAAAGGGCTGAGGAAGAGTTTATGGCAACTGGTGCCAGCTAAAACCACTTTGTGTGGCGTTTATTGTAGGATAGCCGACAGGAAAAGGGGACACAGATGTCTGATGGATTCAGCAGTGACGCACATCTCCAATCTGCAGCTTTATCTAACGAACAGCGGAAATTTCACACTGTCAGAAGGTGAAAGACCCACTAGGTAGCAAAGGGCAGACACTTTTTTGAGCCATGCAACAGGATATTACATAAAGTATGTATGAAGTACTCTTCATAAAGAAGGAAGCCCGTGCAGCTTCTATTACAACATTAAATCTCACAAATGCAGTGATCTCATGTTGCGTTTTCCAGATAACCGGTTGAACTTTGTCATGAATGAAAATAACCAGTTACGCAGCAGAAAGCCGTGATCCCATTGGTCCGTCAACGTAACATTTACCGATTGGCTAACGACATGTGACAGTCCCTTAAAAGTTTCTTTATATCTTTTTTCAAGTTTTCGGCTGGTTGGCGTTTATAATTGTTGAAATGACACCTATCTTATACACACCGAATGACTGAGTGAACGAGTGGCTGTCTGAGGAAAGGCAGACGCTGTGAAAGCTTTGACAAGTCGCCGCCTGTCGACGTTCATCTCCACAGTAGCTAGCGACTTCCATGAGCTAATACGGCTCTCACCTGCACTCTCTGCTGCTTGTTCCGTTTCTTCTCTTATTTCATCTTTCCGTCTGCCCACCGCTAGTGCAACCAGAATAACCAGTGCACCCAGCAATAAAGTTAAGGCAAAAAGAGCAGCTACCTCCATGTCGAAAGCTTGCTGCCACGTATTTTGCACTGCTAACAGCTAGCCTCATTGAAAAGGCACCGCGCATGCGCTCAAGTACTCTTTCTTTGGTGCTGCGTTCGTGTAACCAAGTTTAAGCCGTAATTACGAGAATCTGTGTGGTTGTGTTAATTTATTTTTTCAGAACGAGATAATTAAAACATGGCAAAATGGTCGGATGTGGAACTCTGACATGTCCATACCATTTAAATTCAGGGGTATCATTTAAAATATATTTCAGGATTGTTTTTTTAAATTAAATGCCACTTTGTGGACATTCCATGAACCAGTCTTCACTGCCACCTAATGGCAGGGCAGTCATTGTAGTAAGTTTCAGTATCCAGGGCCTTTTAAGTTTCTCAGTCAAATATGACATGCAAATAATTTAAACATGTTTTATTTACATTTTACACAGCATTCACACACCACTCTTTTATGGAAACTACAACTACAAAAAGAGTACACTGGTAATGTCAATATATGAGGAGTTGAACACAGTTAAACTAAACTGTAGGGCCTCTTCAGTGGATCTGGTAACATGATGTCGTGGCAGAAAAGCAGAACGACGCCTTGAGGAATTCCATGTCTATTTGTTCTAACATTCATGTCTAAAATTCACGTTTGGCTAATTCAATAGAGACAGCTCATTTCTCACAATGATTACTGAGAACAAGTCAATTAGTTTAAACACCAACAACCTCTTTACTGTTGTGGGTGTCAACTTAAGTTCCATCGCATCAAATGATGGCGCATGTAAGACATTAAAACAAAACTCCCTGCATCACCGTCAGCTTTTTCTTCCTTACTAAGAAAAGAGGGGCTACAAGTGAACAGACTTAACTTTAGTCAACCTGATGTAAACTACTGTAACTGTTTTTCTGGATAAAGGGTAAGGTGTTGTTCAGATATATATATAAAAAAAAAAACTAAAAAAAACTCACTACCATTTGAACCAGTAGTTTAAGGTAAAAAATGACCTATTTGGTAGGATAGTTTTTTTTAGTTTTTTTTTTATATACTGCCAAATATTTCAGTGCCTGGGAATAAGGAGAGGTAGTCTGGCACAAACGCACACATCTCAGGAATTTAAGATTAAATGAAAGATCACAGGTTCTTATCATAGGCATAAAGTTAAACAGTTGGCTTTGGTTTGTCAGCACAGGTCTAAAGTAGTCATCCTAATCATAAACAGCAACAAGCAACTTCGATCAGTGTTGGCAATCACCAAAGAAAAAGAGAGAAAGAAGGCCATCCACAGGAGGACTCAGGGAATGCTTGAAATGACAAAAAGTATGAAACAGAAAACACAAACCTTTGCATGAACTACATTAAGACACTAAGTTGCCCTTTAGGTGCAGAAACAGATCAGCCATTTACAGGGACAGAGAGCCAATTAAAAAAATAATTTAAATGCAAACATCTCATAACTTTACATTTGCACTGAGGTGCGGTGTACCTTATCTGAATCAGCTGTGCATTCCCTCCATTCAGACTCAGAGAATGTACTCAAACATTCATGAACATACAAACCAGTGAACGCATCCCGTAAAAAAATAAAGGTCTGAGCCGAGGCTCCATGTCTCTGCCCGACTCAGCTTTCTCTTTAAGACGAACCAATCGAAGTCCACATAAAGGGAGAAAAAAAAAAAAAACTTTGGATATGCTTTTGTTCAGAATCAAAACTATTGAATGTCCTTTCTTCGTCTTCAAGTATAGTAACATTGTTATGGATTCTTTCTCCCCGCCGCTACAGTCCCTCACGGGGCCATGCCTTCTTCCAGGCAGCATCATCTCAGCAGGCTGGCGTTCTCCTTCCAACTGGCCGGCGAGCAGGACGCTCCGGGGCGGGCGCAGTTCGATGGAGGGTGGGAAGATGGCGCAGGTGAGCCGGTGGACGTCGGGCTTTAGACAGAACGATGCTAGCAGGTTAGCCTCTGAAAGCGGTGCTGGATGCAGGGAGCTGGTTACTTCTTCCTGTTGTGCTGCCTGCGTGCCTGCAACCTCTGGCGAGCTCCAGACGGCTTTGATCCAGCTCCAATGGAGAAGGAGGGGGTCGCGGGAGACCCTTTGGATGGAAGAAAACATTGATGAGAGAATAAGCACTTGGACAACTTTTCTTTTGAACAATGAACTATCAACTTTACCAGGGTGATCTGCCACAGAAAGATCTTATAAAAGGACTGTGGCTGATAAAATCGGGGCTCAATCGTGTGTTTGGAACTAGAATTACATCCGACCTAACCCCGAATCCACAAGAAATGCCAGGACTCTTATCCTCTGTGGTCTGTAGGCAGACCTCACAAAGTACCACACAATAATGAAATGCCATTTTAAATTGAATGTAGCCTTTTTTTCTTGGCAGGATCACGTCCACATGCCTGCATTGACCAAATTTCTAGTTTTCTTTATAGCTTCTGTATTCTGATATACACCACTAACAACTGAAAAAAGAAGTCTGTTAACATATTTGACCCAACATTTGAAAACAGCAGTATACAGTACTGGCTGCTGTTATTGACTCACCAAATGGAACAGCACTGAAGCCTTGGACAGGAGTTCCAGGGCTTCCAAAGGGAATTGGACCTGCAGCGGCACTCTGCCCAAACGATGGAGTTGATGTTCCTGCGGAGAAAAATTAATCCGATCGGAGAGAAAAAAAACATCCACTCAATTCCACAAAAAAGCATGTTGGTTTTTCTGCATTGCAAGATTTTAAATGACAGAATACCAAAAAACCTAGTGACATGTAGGAGACTGATAGAGACAAATTGACTGGATTATCAGTTTTATCTCACAGTTAAACAGGTTTTAAATCCTGATTTAGGTCAAACAAATGACAAAACCCTTGTTATTAAAGATGTTCAAAGAGGATTAAGAAAGGTTTGTCCCGACAGGCGTTCTTGATGACTCACCAAAAGCCGGTTTGTCTGTAGCAGTGGGCCCGAAGTTGAAGCTTCCCATCTGTGGAGCGGGATTACTGGAAACTGGAGTTCCGAACTGTGGGCACGGCATGCTGGCGCCGAAGTTAAACCCAGCCGGAGCGGGCTGAGTGGGAGCGGGCGGTGCCGGCTGCGGAGCCGCCCCGCCAAACGTGAAGGTGGTGGTGGAGGCGGAGCTCTGAGTCTGGGTCTGGGCCGCGCCAAAGCTGGGTGCGGCTGGAGGAGCCGGGCTGGCGCCGAAAGCGAAACCAGCGGAGCCGGATCCGAACGTGGGCTTAGCTGGGGTCCCGAACGTGGTGGCGGCAGTCACGGCCGCAGCCCCAAAAGTGAAAGGGGCGGGAGCTGGGGCGGGAGCCGGGGCCGGGGTGGAGGCGGGTGTAGATGGCGCCCCGCTGCCTCCGAAGGCGAACGGCTTCGGCGCCGCCGCCGAGGAGCCGAAGGTGGACTGTGCGGCCGGCGCTTCGAACGCGGACTTCCCGAAGGTGAAGGTGGACTGGGTGGAGGTGGCGGCCGCGGTGGAGGCGTTGCTGGGCAGGGCGAAGCCCCCGAAGGCCGCCGTGGTGGCGGCGGCGTTCTGGGTGGGGGCTTTCTGGCCAAAGCCGAACGGCGTGGGGTTAGCGGCCGGAAGGCTGGGGTGCGCGGCGCCAAACGCGAAGGTGCCCTGGGTGCTGCTGGTGCTGGTGGTGGTGGCGGCGGCGGTAGAGGGGGCGGGGGCAGCGGTGGTGCTGGCGGCAGCCCCAAACTGGAAGGTGCTGCCCGTGCTGGGAGGCTGCACGGAGGCAGAGCTGATGCTTTTAGTGGGCGGGGTGGACCACGATCCAAACAGGGACTTCAGGGATGGCTGGGCTGCCGGCTGGGTGGAGGGGGTGGAGCCAGTGGCGGGGGTGGAGCCGGTGGAGGCAGTGGTGCTGTTGAAGCCGGAGAAAGCATTTGGGACGACGGCGGCGTTGCTTGCGGATGTGGTGGAAAAAGAGGGCGCGGTGCTCGCCGGCAGCGTGGCGGCCGTGGCGATGGAGGAAGGCTGGAGGACGGCGGCCGCAGAGGGGGGGTCACCGAAGATGGGCTTGAAATTCTGGACGGCGGGACGGCTTTCTGAAGACGGGGCAGACGGGGAGGAGGTGGTGGTGGTTGTAGCGGGAAATATGGGCTTGAAGCCTGCGGCCAGGAGCGGGTTGGCGCTGCCGGGCGGGGCGGCGGCGGCGGCGGGGGGGGCAGAGGTAACGGAGGGGGCGGCGGCCTGGGTGGACATGCCGAACAGGGTCGGCCCCGTTACAGAAGCTGCAGAGGTGCTGCTGGGGGCCTTGGACACCTGAGCCAGAACCTGAGTGAAGGCAGAGGGTTGCCCCACACTAGAGGAGGGCTGAGATGGGTAGGGAGGGGGGGGCTGGGCTGGAGCCGACACCTTCAGGTTTAAGCTGCCCGCTTGTACGGGAGTGGTAGACGCAGACACTACAGAAAGAGAGAGGGAAAACCATATCAAACACACATGATATATCTGGGAAAATATAAATCCAAGCTACGTGAAGCCTAACTCTGGAGGAACAGAACAAACACGCAGGAAAGAAGATGCAACTACTTCCTCAGTTCAGTGAGCGTACCTGTGACTGTAGTGGCAGCAGAGGTGGAGTCAGAGGGAGTAGTCGTTATTTTCATCTTCAGAGCCTCCAGCAGAGGGTTGGAGGCGGGGGGGGCAGCGCTGGCCCTGCTGGCAGGACTGGGGTCCAGGTTAATGACCGGGATGGCGCTGCTGGATGGGGTGGGCAGGGGAGCGGCCAGGAGGCTGCTCAGGGTGGTGGCGCCCGCAGAGCTCACAGACAGGGTAGGCTGAGTGGAGGTGGAGGCCGGGGGAGACACGGACTTCTCTGGTTCTGGGGCTAAAAGGGAAACAAATTGGCAACAGGTTAGAAAATGGAAGGGATAGTTTTTCTCCTGTTTTGACAATAAATAAATAAATAAAATAAAAATCAGATTACGACTGTAGAAAAAGCTAAATAACCAGCTGCTTTAGCAAAAAGCTGTCCAGAGTGCAAGTCTTTGTGGGTGGACCTCAGTGTCGTCTCATTCAAGTTGAAAATAAATAGATTCAAACAAACTAACCAGGCGTCTCCAGGACTTTCTGGATCTTGCTGATGGCGGCCTTCTTCTCTTCGTCCAGATCTTTTGCCGTAACCGTGTAGCCCAGCTCGGGAGGTGGGGGCTGCGGTTCGACAAATAAAACAAGAATAAAACAGAGAAATCCACGTGACTGCAGTTGGTGAGCGCACTAATAGGGGTTTCAAGTGTGAGGCTGCAGTACAAACCAGAGAGATTTGATCATCCCGGTGGCTGGACACCAACTGGATTTTTCGCTTTCTCTTCCCACCACTACCAGCAGAGTCCGCTGAGCTGGTGACGGGGACTTTGGGAACTGGAGTCAGTTTTGCTGCAAGATACATCAAACAATGCTCATTTAATTTAAAGCTTGTGTGTCATTTTAGGGTCAGGATAGTAAAAAATATCAAGTTAGACAAATATTAACACAGACTGCCAGCTAGAAAAGGCTGGGCTTCTGCCTTTTACGATGGTATACTGTTCATAGATCAAAATATCGACTTACAAGCAACAGGAGCCCTGTCAGACGCTGTGTGATCTGATCTCACTGAGGATGCTGAGCTGGGAGATTGGGCGTCGTCCTCTCTGTTGATGAAACCACCAGTTAGAAACTCCACATGTGAACAAACTGTGGAACCAGCAGATTGCGGGAAAACAGGCAGAGGCAGACCTGGCTCTTTTGGCGGCTCCCTCCGGCGTCTGAGAGCGAGACGATCCGGGGCTGGACAAAGGAGAGCTGGGTGCTGATGGTTTCTTCCACTGTAAAGTCAAAAGAAGACATTAAAGCGTCAAAACGTCCGCCCATATCTTCAGATAAATAGTCTAAAAGAAGAAGATCAAGTACTTGGCCGATGCCTAATGAAGAGCTGTAGGAGCTTTGGATGGCATTCCTCCTGGTCCCAGGCGTCCCTCTGGGGGAATGGAGCGCAGAGCCAGAGCTGATGGAGGATGTGCGGGACCTCTTCAGAATTTGCTCGTCTGCCACCGACGTCATGCCTCTTTTCAAAGTTCCTGGCCTGGAAGAAAAGGAAAAAGTTTTTAATCTTCAGCCCACACATGAACGGCAGGACCACACTCCTTCCAGCAGTTCTCTCATCATCTGACAAGCAAAGGAGCCACTCACTTAGGGACCAGCTGTGATGGCGTTCCATTGGGCAAAAGAGATTCAAAGGCTGAGTGTGCACTTCCTCCACTGTCATTGCGCCTGGAGAGATAGATGAAAAAACATGTGTCTAATCGGTCAAAACCGCACATGCCCTTTATGTTGCCATGCATTTTCGACTGTTTGTTGGATAACTGTTGTTTTCTTGGACCATTTCTGACTTTGGTCTGAGCTGCATCACAGTCTTCCCACCGTGCTTTTAGTCCTCGGTTCCATAATTAACATTAAAGGTTAGGAGCTCTTTCTGACTCGTCTCCAACAAAACTGAAACAGGTGCCTTTTCACTCTCATAAATAAGAACAAGAAAAGCTGTAATGAGCTGGTACCTTCTTTTACTTTTCTGCCCAGTTATGAAAGTCCTGTCCTCGTCATCCACGTCTCTTTTGCGGCTTTCCTTTAACACCTTGAGAACGCTCTCTCTGGAGCAGGGGTCTTCGGGGGCCCTGCTGAGCCCTGCGCACGTCAGATGATCCATACTATAAGCAAAACAGCAAAAGCACAGAGATCAGAAATTGTGAGTGTTAGTAATGTGTTTACAGTGTTAATAAATGCTTCCTTTCCCCTCCATCCCCCTGACTCACTGGCCACATCTTATACAAAGTATTCAAAATCTACAAAACCTAAGCTGAGAAGCTATATCACAAATACATAACCTACAATTCATCAACAGCCACAGTGGCTAATAAGCTGAATTTAGCTTCAACTCAGTTCCAAATGGCGCACTCGGAGCAGAGACCTGGGGCTGCTGTGGTCAGGCCTGGCAATCTTCACTGTGACCGGGCTGTGGGCAGCCGGGGAATTGCGGGGGCTCAGGATGTTCTTCTTTCTGAAGCCGTCCCACCGGACAGGAGGCAGGAACCCCACCGAGGAGACCCCCGGCTGCTGCAGGGGGTAATGGCGCTGTGGGGTGATGGTGAACCGGCCCTTTGGGACCAGTGGCTCCCTGCCGAAAACATGCAATACATGTAACATACAAACGTCTGCTTTAAGAGATCTTTCCTGCATCTACTGAGCATTCATGCGACAGACATCAATCATATCCACACAAGGAGAAAACTCTTCTCCTGCCATTCAAACATCATTACATGGCTTACTTTGCATGGTCAGACTTTTCTTCACCAAATGCTGACAGACCAACAAATTCTGACACCATGTGCAGATACAGAATACTGTGAACATCAGGTCTATAAAACGTTTAGTAGTCATCCGTGCATTTTTGTATGATTTCACCCTGAGGCTTTCCACCCTCTCAAACAGATCGACTGACAGGAGAAAACAAACCATACATCACAACACATGGACTCTTGAACAACAAAAAAACAAAAACATTTCTGGACTTTAGCTGAAGTGGTAGAAAAATGGAAACAGAAATCACCATGTCAAGTTGTAAAAAGAAGCAACAGACTATTTTAACCTTAATAACCCAAAGCTTGTTGTGTTTCAAAGCATATATAGTTAAAGATATTAACATAAAATGAATCATATTTCCCAACAGCAGACAGTTTTACATATGTTTCCGCCTATGAGACATTATCTTAGTAATATTCTAATCTCTTCCTGTTTATTGCTACGGAGGTTTGTCAGTAAGAGCCAATCCGGTCTGAGTGCCTTTTATGATCTCCATGAAGGGTCAATGATTAAAACCCGCCAAGACATTTAAATGGTTTGAATAACAACAACTTAGCCGCCATCCTCGGATCAGAACTCCACACGCCCAGACAGCCTGGTTTGACCTGATGAACATACCCTGTGAATGAAAGCCTCCTGTTTGGCGTATAGACGGCATTGTTGGGTCTACACAGTCTTTCTCGCAGTTGCTCCCGGGGATTTCTCCCGGCTCTCGGCCTCCCAGGGATGACCGGTGGACTTTCCGGTTTTCCTATGTAACTCCCCATGAGAAAATCCCTGGGGCTGTACAGAAATGAATCACTTGACAAGGCTTCTCTGCGGTAAATCCCGGTTTCCCTGGGTCTTTGTCCGAAGTGTCCCTCGGTCTCTCGGAGCTCGGCTCTATTGCTGCCGCTACTCCTCGTTTTCTTCCGCGCGATGACCGACTCGCCGGTTGCCCCCCAGTCCCACAACCAGCGTCTGAGCACGCCAGGCACGTTAAGACCACCCCGTGGATTTGGGCCTAACCTGGCGGGAAGAGGTTCTCCCCAGCGATAGTAACAAGCAGAGCAACAACCGGCAAGAATTAAAGTTGCGTAAAGAAAAGTGGGGATAAAATAAAAAGCGAGAGTAAATAAGCCTAACACAGAAAGAAGCGCTAAATGTTTCTCTCTAGGTGACATGGCGGCAACGCGCCGCCGGAGGACTTGCATATCCCATCATGCTGCTGTCCTCAAAAATATTCTTCTTCTGTAAAACCGTCGGCTCATGTATATGAAGTTTCGGCGAATGAGCGCCCACTACCGGGCTTAGATATAATTGACGGTTAAAAATAATTTATTGTAGCAAACGGAGTGATGACATTTACAATAAAAGCACCACTAAACAAAGGGCCTCTAGTGTAGAAGGACCCCCACTGGTGTGAACGACGACACCAGAGACACACATAAACAAACTTTATATTATTTAGAACATAATTGAAGGTTTTGTTTAATCTGTGACAATTAAATGTGTTCATTTTTTTAAGCTTTTTGGTAAAATTAAATGTCTTGCCCTGTCTGACAGCTTTTGCTTAGTTTAGCACATTTTGTGTCATATAGGACATCAGATTTATGTATTTTGGCTAATTTATACACTGGATATATTTCTATTACCTTAATTCCATTAGCCAAACGAGGACTAAGGAATTGAGATTGCTCGAGATGCAACATTCCTGAGAAAACATTAGGACATTAACTGAACTCATGTATTGTTTTTTTTATTATTCAATTTGAGTTAGTCTCATCTTACCATTTGAACAGTCAAGAAAAACACAGTTACACATATCTTTATTTATTTTTCATTTTGTATAACAAGGTTTTAAATTAGTTCTGTTATAAAAAATCAAAAGGTCTGTACATATATACTGAATAACATTACTATCATAACCATCCTGATATTCATTTTCATGATTATAATAAATCCTAATCAACTCTTTAGAAATTTTACAGTTACATCAATTATTTTCAGTCATATTGGCTAAAAAAAAAAAACGATTTGTGCATGAGACGTGAGGTAACATTTTGAGTAATTTTTTGGCAAAAGAAATCTGAAAAAACAAAACAAAAAGGAAAATAACACGACTATTCTTCTCTAAAAACACAACAATTATGAAATTATTTTCTCAGTTAATATAAAACGATGGCTGGTACCAGCTCCCATATGACACAGTGACTATAATTTTCTAAATGACAACTTCTTGATCTTTTTCAGAGCTTCTGTCTTTTGCGCTCTGGGGTGACATCTGGACCTCAAAGGTTTTGTCAAATGCACCGTAGTCCACACGAAATGCTCCTAATTCCAAAGAAATGCATGACTCAAAGCGGTGGCCCCACAGGACCTCATCCTCCGTGTAGGATGTCCTCGCCTGGCACGTCATACCTGCAGTACAACAAAGCATCACAGCAAGAAGATGTTCACCTGACAAATCCTATGCTTTTGAATAAAGGCAACTGGACTTTGATAGATTTAGATCTTGAAGACATTTTACGTCTCATACGAAAGGTGTCTTCAGTTTTGAAGAAGTCCAGTTCCCTTTACTTAAGATCATAAAATGATCATGACCTGGATGACTGAAATCTACATTAATATACATTTAGATGACACATAAACACATATAGACACTCCATAATGCAGAATTTAAAAAAGGATGTGCATATCACACTATGAATTTCTCAATTTATTTAAACCACACTAAACCAACTTTTGGCACAATTTCAAGTAAGTTTCGTTCCAGTTTAACACATTTATCTAGTGAAAACGTAAGGCAGCAACCATTCACAGAAGGAAATACCCTCAGATAAAATGTCAGCCACCCCGACTTGGCCAAATTCATTCTGTATAGCAGCTCTGTGAAGGTTCTCAGTCATCCAGGTCATGGTTAAGCTTGAAAAGTTCAGTTAGGCAACTGGAGGTGAAGTTCAAAACCTCCCCTTTAGCTGCCTAACTGAACTTGTCAAGCTTTGAATAGCAGCCATAACTTGAAATATGTAGCTGCCCGGTTCCACTTGGATTTATTTAGATAACACAACACATCCTAGAGTATGTGCAACAAAAATGCTAAACGCAATTTTTAACAAAATGTGTATATATGTATTTGTCAAGAACATTGCTGATGCATAATCTGTGTTACTTAAACACAAAATAGGGAAAATGTCTGTCAGTTCTTCCATCTAACCATGTTCACACAGAGTTTTAAGCATGGAAAATCACTCTTTCAGTGCAGGAAAAAGTCAAACTTTTTACTGAGAAAAGAATAAAGATTTCCTTCTACACACCTGATGCTTCCACAATGCCCTCCAGGATGACGATGATCTCAAAGGTCTCCCTCCTGAGCCGCTCCGCCCCCACCTCCCAGAAGGGGCTGCTTTCACCGATGATGTGAGTGATGGTCTGGGGCTCCACCAGGAGCAGCCTGTCCCCCCCGGTGTCGTAGCCCAGGTTGATTTCCGACTGCTCCAGCGGGATGAACTCGCCTTCCTTGGTCTGCCTGGACTTTATCAGCTTGGCCCGTATCTTGGCGTCCACCATGTGACTCTCTCTCAAGTCCCCAATGCGGAAGAGCAAGCACAGCTTCTCATCGCGCTCGCAAATCACGCAGTGTTTGCTGAAGATCAGAGTCTGCGCTCTCTGCTGCGGCCGGGAGATTTTCACAAACATGCAGCCCACCATTAAAGCATCGATGATGGAGCCGAGGATGGACTGGACCATCAGGATCAACGAGCCCTCGGGGCAGTTGGCCGTCACCATCCTGGAGCCATACCCGATGGTCCTCTGGCTCTCCAGCGAAAGCAGCAGTGCTGAAAGGAAACCGTCTACGTTCTGGTAGCAGGCCTGCCACTCGGGGTCACGCACGTGTGAAATATCGTCACGCAGCCAAGCACCCAGGAGGTAGATCAACCCGAAAGCCAGCCAAGTGAGAATGTAGCACATGCTGAAAACGAGAAGGAACCAGCGGTATCTGAGGTCCACCAGGGTGGTGAAGATGTCTGAGAGGAAGCGGCTCTTGTCTCTGATCGGGCCCAGGTTGACCCTGCACTTGCCATCTTTGTCCACGTAGCGCTGCCGCCGACTGCTGCTCACAACGTGTAGGGAGGGCTCATCTCCCAGCAGCTTACAGCGCTTCCTGTGGCTCTTCGCAACGTTCAGCTTTTCAATGGCGGCGGCCGGGATGTTGCAGCTGCCGGCTGAGTTCCTCGACTGCCACCTGGAGTTGAAACGCTTGAGGTGCCTGTTGCGATGCGACTTTGGAGCCTTCTGGGTCTCCTGGTTTGGCGGCGCAGCGTTCTGCTGGAGGAGTTCTTGATTTGACGAGGCGAGGGCTCGAGGGGGCTGACCGCAGGGACTCTGGGATGGAGATGTCTCCTGAGATGGTGGGACTGAGGAGAAGTTCAGGTTTTTTATCAGAGGGGCTCTTTTTGTAATCATCATGGAGGTAACAGTGGATTTAGCTGCAGTCTGAAATGGCAAAAGAGGTTTAGTAACATCCTAAATTCTTGAGGATATAATTTGCATCCTACGATAACCATTATCCTTATTTTCCTATTTTTTCCCCCACTAAAAGTACTGAGAGCATCCTGCTACAGTGAAGTCAATGAGTGCAAACTCACACATTGATTTGTCTGTTCGACGCACTTGGACAAAACATTAACATTTCTGCAGGTATATTTAAACAAGAGCAACAGTTTTATACAATTGTTACATATTTCAAAATATCCTCTAACCTTTGTGTCCAGAAAGAAAATACTGTCCTGTTCATTGGCTTTTTATTAAGTAGAATATTTTCAAATGTTTGTAATAATAGTTTGGAAAGACTTAAGTATGAGTGCAAACGTACATTTAGCCTGCACAAACAGAGCTGTACCTTGTTAGGGTCAGGTGTGTGACGGACTGACAGCGATCGATGTACAGACAGGTGTTTCTCAGTCAGAGTCTGTGCCAGTGGACTGGTGTTCCTGCGGGAATTTTCTGGAGCTTTTTTGCTTCCCATTAGTGTGGAAAACATTACTGAGGTCTATAGGATGTGGACGGATCCTAAATTCCCATCCTATTTTGTCAAAAAAAGAGAAAAAGAAAAGGGGAAAAAAAGCTTTTTAATGAGTCCAAACTATTACAAAATAAATCTCGTTAGTAGGTGAGCCTCAGATAACCAGTAAAATGACATCTAACAGTAAGTGTTTAGGAAACCCAAGGACAAAATTCAGAAACTGTGTATGTTACACTAAATCTGTCATATGATTCGACAGCTTGTAGATCCACCTTTTTGCAGCATTAACTCGAGGCCAGGATTTCCTGTATGTCCTTTTTCGTCTCCTCATGTTCTACTTCTCTTTGTTTTTTTCCTTTTTAAAACCCCAGCCAAATTTTGCCAGCATTCACTCATGTGTAGCTTTGTTCAGGTCCCACTGCCTTTAAATCAAGTTGAGGTCTTGACTTATCAAACCGATGCTTTATTTTTTAGATATTGTTTTGGATTTGCTGTGTCTTAGATTCTTAACCTGCTGAGGGACACATTTCAGCCAAGCATTTTACACTGACAGCATCATATCTGACCCCAGAATACTTTGATATATAAAGGAGTTCATGGTGAACTTAGTGGCTCCAAAACCAGCCCCAATCATCAGCCCTCCACCACCATGCCTGGTTGGTATGAGACATTTGCGCTGATATGTTTTGTGTCCACTCCTGGAGAGAAATGTTCTCCACTTTTAGAGTTTCCAAGTTTAAAATGATGGAGTTAAAAAAGTTTGGAAAGGGTCATAAACAGACATCTACATGCTCTGGAACCTCAGACTTATTTTTCAAATAGAATGAAAGTGAATGAGAAAAACAAACATTAAGAGCAACAAAACAAAATAAAAAAAATACAGCCGATGGCCGAAGTTACTCACTGGCTTTTGGCCAGGAGAGCCAGCCTCATCTTTAAGTTTTACACACACACGTTCTGTACTTTGGCCAGTATTTGTTAGACAGTGACTGTGATGTAAACAACAATGTAATGTGTACTAGTTTGCCTAAGTCTAAGACCTGGTACAGACAAGATTTTTTCTTTGTGTCTTTAATGTCCTGAGATGAAAGAGGGTGTGCTCTCTTTTTGACAGGGCAGTATTGGCTTCCTTTTCTGAATTATTATGCTGTGTTGAGGTAGTCTGGCACAGAATATCAAGATATGTTTTTAAGAACAGTAAGCTAACTGATATTTTATTTTATTCAAAGCCCATTTTTAATGTTCGACACACCTAGAGACAAAGAAGCAGCAGATATTTGAACATTGTACTTGTACATGGTCAGCCTGATACTTTGTGGTGTTTGACAATGAGCTTAGAGCAAATGTTTCCTTACTTCCTCATCAGCAAAGCATGAGCGTCCACAAGCCTGGAGGACAATCAGGGTTTCAGCCGCTGCTTCACCGTACAACGCATGCAGGGATTATTACTTATCCACAGAATTAATCAGACCAACCCTGAGGAGAACGAGTGCTTTGAAAAGATTATCAACTTCACTTGTCCCAAGGCCTGGATATCTGGATATCATCCAGATGGAGCACAACGGACTGATGTGAATTAATTTATCTCCGTGGAAAATCTTTATACAATGCCACGCTTGCAGCACATGTGAGGGTTTACTACAAACTAAACCACCAAGGGAGGATTTTACCAAGAAGAAATGGACAGAAAACTGATAAATAACTAAGGTTCTTCAATCACAACATAAATATCCTTTTATTCACTTATCGGTTTTGCTGGATATATTTAAACTACATACCTTCAGATGCCGGAACCACGAGCTGCCCTGATAATGGATGTGTGATACTGTTTACGGAGGATCAAATTTGCCCATATCAACATGTAAATGCAGTGTTATCGTTCCAAAACATTTTCCACTGCACAACTATTGAAAATTAACTTTGTTTTGGAAAAGTAAAAAAAAGGCCATTCACATCCCCCCAAAACGTTCACTTTTAATCATTCACGGCAAAATATTTTAACTTCTGGTATCAAAATGATAAACCTATAAATATGCTAGAGTCCTCGAAAGAATGTTTATGTCCTGATGTTCAAGATGATCTTTTGGAGTGTTTTCACTCAGTTCATTGCATTCATACCATAGTTATCAATAAGAGAATATTTACAAATTCCATTCAAAATTTGAGAAACTAATTAATTTCCCATCAATTCCTGAGGCTGCTAAATGTTCTCACATTAACCTCACAGTGTGCTCCACCATCTTTTTCCAGTTGCATTTGGCATTCGACAGCTGGAACAACTGACCATGTACAAGAAACACACAGCCACCATTTCCCCAATTATGGTAGACTGACTTTCAGGAATAAAAATCTAAATCTAATGTTTTCTTCTTTTAGCTTTCTCAAGTCATGTTTGACCTAATATTGCTGTTGTTAAGATACTTTGCACTTTTTTACCAATATTATACTGATGTGATAGGTTTAAGGCTATGCTTACAAAGGTTAAATCAGCAGAAAAAGTTTACATTTTATGCGGCAAAATACAAAGAAGAGACCATGGCATACCTCTGCTAAGTGCATCTGAAGATGAGGGAGCGATACTTCCTCGAAATCATCAAGTTAAAGGAGGAGACTGTTTGAAATTAAGAGCAGAGCTGTGGCACTGTCCAGCTGTTAGTCTCCTCCCCCAACATCAGTTACAATAACCCTCCAATCCAAAGTGCCACATGTTGCTCGGGCAGCTCTACAGCTTTATCTTAGCCATCTTAAAGCTGAGGCAGCGCTCGCAAAAGTTGAAATGACTTAACCCCAGTGTAGAATATTTTACGATAGCTAACATTAATCAGGAAATAGTATCACATTTTTGCAAATCATCACATTCCTTGGGGTATGGACAAATTATTTTTTCCAAAATGTGGAAAATCGAAGCTCTAAGAGTCTTAACTAAATACAAGATCCATGCATGTCTCTTGGAACTTATCAGAGGAAAAACACACACGCAGTGACTATGTACCTACTGACAGATCTGCCACCAAAATCATGGAAAGAATGTTTGGAAAAGGTTTGAAAATCTGAGTCTTTTTGGTTTATTTGGAGAAGTAATAAATACAAAGTGGAAAAGCTCAGATGAATGGCCTCTTTAGGAAGATTTTAGTACAGTAATTAGTTCACCACTTCATAGCTGTTTAGCTTGGGACATGTCACACATGCTCTCTTCTGAAATGACTCCAACATAGAAAAGCAGAGATATCTGGAAAAAAAAAGGCTTAGAAACCCTCAATGTTCCGTCTCCCACAAACAGATGGGAAGCTACCCTTCACAGTACCTCTGCCCGGCCCTGCAGCTGTAAACCTCCGCATCTGTAGGGCTGGGGCTGTAGGATGCTGAGGTGCCAGCCTTTGTGTAATCTCTGTGGGACAGACAGCTGAGCATAGCCAGCAGACAACCACCGGCATCAGCAGCACCTTCGGCACAACCAACACCGTTCACCCTGCTCTGCTGTAAAAGCTGGAAATGCTTATGAAAGTAAAATGGAAATGAATAAAAGGCCTTTTTGCTTTTTTTTTTAAACAGAAGGGGAAAAAAGGGCTTCAGTCTGTTCTATTTGATCTTGGTCAGCGCGGCAGCTCTCCTCTCTGTGTTTTGAAACAGGGCTCGGATCAGGCTCTTCACCTCCAAGCTTGTGAACTCCACCGCCAGCGGCCCCTTACTGTCAGCCCATCTGTGGAGAGGAATCACAGATAGACCTGTCACTCACAAAATAGTCTTTCATAATTGTCTGATAACAAGTTAATCAATTTCCACTGAGATGTCCTCAAAGAAAAAAAAAGCATTCCCTCCAAATCAGTCCACTTACTGTTTTATTTTTTGCTGATGAGGCAGAAAACCAGACCACTGTATTTTGCTCTTACCTGTCCACGATCTCCTGCAGATTCGCCCGCAGCACAATGACCAGCTCTTTGAAGGTGCTCCACTTCTTCACATAGAGAGGCACTTCTTCCTGGTATTTCCGGTTCTTGTTTTCCTCGGCCAGAGGGATGAAGACCAATGGACCTTCCTCGATGATGGTTTGGCACAGGGTGTGGAGGTGCTCTCCATCCTCAGAGGAAATGTCCTTTGAAGAGTCGGGTGAAAAAATCCTAATGAATCCCTCGTGTCTTATCATGAAAATGTAGCAGTGTGACATCTAACATAACTTACACCTAAAAAGCTGTAATTTGTGTCTAATAGTGGAAAGAGGAGAGCTCTTGGGGTTTTAAAATAAGTGGCTTAGGTGAGATCCATAAAGTGCAAACCACTGACCGAGCGTGTCCAGTTTTTGGATTGGGCCGCCGGAGGAAAAATCAAGACTAACCTCGAGCGCCATAATTTTTGACATGACTTCTGTGATGGCCGTGTTGAGGAGGGTGCCCATGGCTTTGCAGTAGATGCCCACTGGAAGGACATCCTGCCACACCGTCCCCAGCTGCTTCAGCTGATGGATGACCTGCAGCCAGAAGGAGAAAAACAAAAGATAACTGATCAGATACACTCAATTTTAATCCACTCAGCACCGAGCCGTCAAAGAAAATGACTTTTTTTGCATGTCGCATATGAGAAAAGAGGCACAGAAGAACCTACTGCTCATCTAGCAGCTGAACAGTGTAACAACCTCTCATAAAAGTCTTTACCAACACTCAGGTTTCACAGGCGCCTTCCCCCACCTGTCGCACTGCTTTGCTGGCTGCAATGTAGTTGTCGTCATCATCCAAGTTGCAGAAGTTGTGAGCGGTGGAGAGTCTCTCCAGCAGCTCGGCTCTCTGGACGTTGAGTTGGGCTAAGAAGCACTGAGAGCCTACAGGAAAGCAAGAGAAGGAATTAAAGCTTGTGCTTGCATAGGAGTGCGTAAAGACCTCTGTGGATAGCGTATTAACACACCCAGTTTCCTGAACCCGGGCACCATGTCGACGAAGGTTGCCACGCCCTCGCTGAGCGGCTGGGGGAGGTGGGCTCTGAAATGGTGACCCAGGGTGAGGAGGTGGTGAGCCAGGTACATGCAGTTGTTGTGCTGGATGGCGGCGAGATGAGGAAACTTCAGCAGGTTTTCTCTGGGTGGTGCGACAAGAGTTGGGAGAGACGGCCTTTTTACCCCGCTGTAAAGCACATGGTTTGACCCGTACTGTCTGGTGAAAGAGCTCTTACTTGTGGTACGTGGGCACGACATCGTAGAACAACTGGAAAATGTTCCTCACGGTGAAGAAGAGCTGCAGGGCGCTGGGGATCACAGATAAATGGGCGGGGCTGCAGTCACGGGTAGGGATGGGGATCGAAACCTGGTTCTGTCAAGGACCCGGTTCCACTTTTTTCAAAACCCGAAAATCAATACCGTTTGGGCTTATCGATACCACTGTCGAGTCTGGTCGTTTTTTTCATTATTACAATAGTAATTGTGAAATCCGTGTTGTAATCGGCAGCATACAAGCTAGTTAGCTTGAAAGTAAATAAAGTTTCAGACGTGCTGCGTGATGATGTGTTCAGATTGGCTCAGTAAAACGACAATTAGGTTATCATGATGCGTTCAAGTGTAACGTTAAGAAAAGGGAAACTGAGTTTTTGGCGAGAAACATGAGTAATACACTTGTATATTGCTCTAATTATTTTAGAATATATAATTAAACTACTGATGCCAACATTTATCAAAAATTACATTTAATTTAAAATACAATTATTTATTTGCTAAATATTGTCGCATCGTCTTTCCACCAAATAACAGAAAAGTATCGATAGGGGTATCGATAAAGACTCGGATCGATAAGGAGTATCGTTAAAGGTATCGATATCAATAAATATTAACGATCCCCATCCCTGGTCACGGGGCTGGTTGGACGGCGCGGCACCATGGGCGGAGCGGAACCTACCACTGGGTGGAGCTCCCCACGGCTTCGCACAGGGTGTGCAGCGCCAGCTCCATAAGCTGCTGCACCGACTCGCTGATGCGGCACGCCGGCAGCCGGAGGCTCCAGGCAGAGAGCTGCTTCGCGTTCTCCATGGTGAGGTCTACCATTGCGGCCTCCTGCTTTATCTTGGCCTCCGAACTCGGAGCGGACAGCTTGGGGAGACGCAGCTTGGAGTCGGGTGTGATCTGCCGAGAGACGCGGCGGTCAGAATGGTTCATGGAGAGGGATAACCAAAAGGGGGTAGGAGATGTGGGGAGGAACACAATCTAATGTGGAACTGCAAAAAAAATAGCTCCGAATACAAAGTGCAGCCATTCATTTAGACCTCTAGGAACCTGCTTCTGAATCAACAGGAGATATCCTTCAATAGTATTTACAAACAGGCATTTATTCAAGTCCAGGTTCCTTGTGAACTGAGATAAGACTAAACAATGAAGAAATACTGCAGATACATCAAATGAAATGTTTAAGTCACACTACTTCCCTTTTAAAATCTACAGCAGTACTCTAAATTCGAAGCCTTATCCCAATGGTAAGAGCATGCTCTCTTTTAAGGACAAGCCTCTGGTTCATGTAGTTTCTACGTAAGAACTGAGCAATCCAAGTAAGGTAATACAACTTTGAGTGTTTTGGTGATAAATTAGGAAACAAATTCCCTTAAACAACTCAGAACATCCTCACTCCATGAAGGGACCAATGAATGTATCCAATTTTAGTCAGCCTTAACAGTTTGGCGACAAAAAAAATGACATGACATCTGCGATTCTACTTTGATCGTGCACAACTACACACTTTGACATCGTACATACTTTGACAGTGTTGTGCATCTTGGAGGTCATGAGCTTGCGTGCAGCCACAATGACGTCCTTACACTTCTTGCTGGCAAAGTGACAGTTGACGTCTCTCGCGTATTTGAGCAGATCTGTGGAGTCCCCCTGCAGATAATCCATCTGCTTCAGGACCTTCTCAAACTCCTGGGTCTCTTTGATCACCTTAAACACGCAGACACACAAATATTCAGAGTCAATCTAACTGAGTGTCGACGGGGTGGGAAAGATCTTCGTTTTTTTGGCGTACGGCGCTGTATTTCTCCAGCTGGCTGCTGTTGGTGGGGATGGAGTAGACCAGACACTCGTGGATGATACACTGACACAGTTCCTCCCAAATCAGCTCCCCTAGCATAGCAGAGAGCTTTTTATCCTCGATGGACACATCTGCAGACACAAACAGACGCCTTCACGTCAACAGCTTCCACAAACAATAACGCAGGACCTCTTTCCTTTTGGTCCCCACATTTCAACATGAGCTGTGGCCAGACTTACCCAGGAGGTGCGAGTGCAGCGTCCTGAGCACCAGGAGCAGTTTGCTGTAGACCTGTGAGGGAGCGGATCGCTCCTCCTGGTTCTCCTCCAAACACTGCAGGGCCAGGACGGTTCCCTCGCCCTGCTGCTCGGACACCCTCACCGACAGCGCCGCGTACATCACCAGCGGCTTCAACATGTTCTTCAGAAGAACCCGACCTGGACGGCGACAGAAGCCAATGAAAGGCACATTCTGTGGTCTGCATCAACATCAGCAACAACCCAAAGAGCCCTCTTTACTTTTAGCCATGATGATTTTTAAATGGATCAAAGCTGCGTCCACTCACTGAAGAGTTTGATCTTGTGCTGGAGGTCTCCCTGGATGGCCAGGGCTTGCAGGACAGAGCACAGCAGAGCTGGCGGCTGTGGGTCACCATCGGTCTTGCAGGCATCACTCAGTCTCAGTTCCACCTGCAGGAAAGACTGCTGACCTGCAGGCTCTGAGAGAAAAAAACACCCACCAATTACTGCTTTGAGTTAAAGAACAAACAACACTAGGCCAAAGACGCAGCAACTCGTGTGATAAACGAGGCACGTGCCATATCTGGGATCAAGAGAATGAACAGTTTTCTCAAGATGCCCTGCCTTTCAAGGACGGTAGTTTCCAGATGACGAGGCTCTTCCATTCATCTCCCAGGTGGTAGATTAGGTTTTCTCTCTGCACCGTTAATTCAGAGCTCATTGCACTGAGCAGCGGCAGATGAGACGTTTTCCAGGCCTTCAGTGAATCCACGCTTTTCCTGGCCTAGAAAAAAAAAAAGGCTCAGAAATAATTGCTTTCAGATTCTGTCACTCGTGTCACAAATCAAGTGAATAACTTATTTTAAACACGATAGACGTCCAGATTCCCGCCCTTATGAGGCACGTTCTGTTCAGCTCAGACTTTCTCTGCATGAAAATGACCTGCACCTTTAACAACACTTACAGCAGTTTTCTGGGATGTCAGAGAGGGAGCTGATACTTTGAATGAATATCAAAGTCAAAGTTTACATTATGATGTTACTTTTCGGTTAATTCTTCCATGTGACACTTCAGACCCTTCAGGGCAGATTGTGTGGATGTTTTTGTTTGTGAGTCTCACCCTTTCCAGATGGTTGGCTGCATCCACATACTTCTTCTCCAGTAAAGCCTTGTTGAACTCCTCCATTGATCTGTGAAACTGAGTCACATAAGAACTGTCAGACAGACCAACATTTAAACATGCAAATGCTTAAAAACCATGTCAAGATGTACCTCTTTTAAGTGTTCCAGCATTTTGATGATGGTAGTGTTTTTCTCCAGCTGCTGCTTCAGCTTTGTGTATTCAGTCACAGCCACGTTGATGTTCTGATGCACCTAGATCAATTTACAAACAGTTAAAAACAGCTGGCAGTAAAGTGGAACAGTCCACATCTGTTTAACGCATTTTAACAAACATTTAGTTTTTACAAAAAATATGCACACATTTGAAAAAGAGCCCTACAGACGCTTTTTTTCAGAAAAAGGAAAAAGAAATAGCAACATGACTAAAAAAAATATTTATTTTACTTAAAATGGTCTGGACTTTGACCGGACCATCGCAGCACCTTGATTCTTGTCTTTTTAAGATTTTCTGTTGTAGATTTACTGCTGTATTTGGGGCTTTTGTTCTGTTCATGACCGAGTTTCAGCCACATTTTAGCTTTCAGAGAGATGGTCTCGCATCTGACTCAAGAATACTTTAGTAAACGGAGGAATTCATGGTAAACTCAATGACTGAGAGGTGTCCAGGTCTTGTGGCTAACCCAAAATCATCAGTCTTCCACCATCTTACTGACAGCTGGTATGAGATGTTTGTGCTAATATTCTGCGTTTGGTTTCTTCAAAATGGGCTGTTACACTTTATGACCTGATCGGAAGCACCTGGCTGCTACTTACTTCTATACGTTTTCTCACACTCCATCTGCATGATTTAAATCAATATCTGGACAATGTCAATATGTTCTATGTTGTTTATCCGATCACAGCCACTCCTGTTTGAGACATCTTTTCTTGTATTCAGTTTTAGCACATACCTCTGTCTCAATGTGGTTTTTGAGAGAGTCCATTTCTCTGGAGATTGCATCAACTTGTATCATTAGGTCCTCAGATCCTTGAAGGCTTGGCAGGAATTCACTGTATCTCTTGTTTATCATGTCACTCACCTCCTCCTAAAGGAAATGCACAAAAGGCACTGTTACTTCATGAAATGTAAGGGAACAAAACATATTTGGGAGGGCATTTTACCTCAGACCATCTATGGTCTGTAACTACTACTTGTCTTAACTACTTGTTTCTCTTTACTGTAAAAAAACTTTAACACAACAAATATCAATCATTCGTAAAATTCGAAGGCGTTGCATTGAAATACAAGAGTAAATGTTATAGGAAAAAACTACAACACCCCTTGTTGTTTGTACTTTATAGCCACGTAACCAGACGTCAGTACAGTAACATATGGCTAACCACCAGTCCTACTAAGTAACCAAACTGCCCTTTTGGCTTGCTGGATATGATGTTTCTTTTCAACACGGTGGTTACTTCTGTAGCTGACCACTCTCTCTGGGATTGTCTTTAAACAATGAGCTTAGCTGATTCGAAGTATCAGTGAGGCGCCAACAGCAAACTGTGGTTCAAACTTTACTTAGCGTAACGCTAGCAGATGCTAACCTAGCTGGTGGATTACCTTTGTATCTTCCACTTTACGCGACATTTTGCTTATTTTACTGGCCAAGTCCTCTTTCTCCAGTTTGCCAGAGCTGGCGAGCACTTCGGTCACAAACGACGCCATACTTAACAGGAACGATAAAATGTTAAGACAACACTGACATATCAATACAACACTCTAACGAACACGACCCGCCAGGCGGCCCGATTGGTTCAAGGCACTCGGAGATGTCGCCGATAAGGCCCGCCCATTTTCTTCTTCGTCTTTTTCTATTTGACGTTATTGGTTTGTCAAGCTGCCAATTGATTTATTGTATGTAAACCAGAGATATGAAGTCTAATGGAGGTTAAAACGTTTTGATTGCGTAATTAATAAGGCCAAATGCAAATAAAACTATACAAAATGATTCAACAGTAATACAGAATAAACACAATAATGTTAGCCACAAAAATGGAGCAGACTGTGAATCTATACAAGTCTATAAGAATACAAAATGCGTGAAAAAATAATGTTTTTTACTTGAAAAATTCATTTATATGCAATGTATTTCAACTTTGTTTTTCAAAGACAATTTCTGGAGTAATCTAAAACCAATGCCACACTGAAAATGTAACAAAGTGAGCTCATCAAAGACTTAAATTAAGAAATTAAGAATTTTTTTTAACTCAATGCAAATAACATTTTATCAAATTAATAATTCTACAATACACAAAAAATGTGATTAACTCCTTAAGCCATATTAGAGACTCATGCATATTCAACTCTTATTTCTGTCATCTGTTTTGCTCTGTATCTCATAATCATGGATTCCAATGTGACAGTAAATGTACACTACGTGAGAATAAAGTATGGTGTTTATATGAATTATGACTTTGAGAGCATGAACTTTATTAAATATTTAAAATAAAAATAATTTGGACTTTTAAATAATTATTTTAGTTTAGTTGCAGAAATTAGAGCAACTCCCATTGTTAAAATTCTGTATGAAAACAGCTCGGTTTTGTAGCCTCTAGAGGGCAGTAAGGGTCTTGCCACAAAGTTGTTAGTTACACGAAGAAGAACGACAAAAAATCTCTATGGAAACGTCAACTATCTCCAACCAGTTGTCTGTACGAAATCTTTAGTGTACAATGTATTCATTGTAACTTTTATATACAACATTCATTATTAAACCGTTTTTTACAGTTACTAAAACTAAGGGAAATTATCAAACGGTGGTCACTTTTATGCTTAGAAGTGAAGTGTGTTAACTGGCTAACGTGGTGTTTGCTAACATCAACCTGGGAAGTCGTAGATGTTAGCTCGATAAATGGCAGAACTTTGGAACTCAGATACAGGGGAAGCGGTGTATCGCTCGCGGGATGCTGTCAAAAATTTGAAAATAAAGTAAGTATATTGAAATGTAGTGAAATGATACCTTTCTTAAGTCCACTGCGTATTTAAACCATGCTATATATTTGTGTGCTCACTTCAGAGTGCGAATAGAGAGGGTGACCTCAACAGCAGTTCTTTCTCAGCATCTTCAGCACAAGGTTCTCTCTCAGCAAGACAGAGGAGAAATTGAGCTGGAAACCCTCACAGCTCAAGGCCAAACAGGTAAAATAGGTCAAATTTAACAAGTATTTCTTTATTAGATTTCCTTTTGAAACACATTCGTGTCTGAGTTTTTTTTTATGGGAGTATAGTTGTGTGATGAGTTAGATATGCATTGCATATAGATAGATAGATAGATAGATAGATAGATAGATAGATAGATAGATAGATAGATAGATAGATAGACAGACAGACAGACAGACAGACAGACAGACAGACAGACAGACAGACAGACAGACAGATAGATAGATAGATAGATAGATAGATAGATAGATAGATGGATACATGTCAACTGATAATGTTGCACCTTTAAGGAGGACATGTTTTTTCACAGTAAAACAGACATTTCCTTCTTTCAGTAAGCGTAGTGTCAAAACAAAGTTGAGTTGTCTTTGTTCCATCGTCCACTGAAAGCAATATGTTATATTCCAGAATTAATCTTATCTTTTAAAAACATTTAACAAGTTAATATTAATACTATTTACTTATAATTATTAATTGTTCTTTTGGTAGGTGATAATGAAGAAGAGATAGTTGTGGGCTGGCAGGAGAAACTCTTCAGTCAGGTAAAGCTTTGTGTGTTCGATGTCCTGGTGGCTCTCCACACGATTGTAGAAATACCAAAAGTTAAAACATTAAAGCTGCTTGAGTCTTAAAGACATGACTTGCCCTTGCACAAATCGATTAAGAAATTAACACCAATGTCTGTTTGTGGTTCCAGTATGAGATCGAGCTGTTCCAGAATGAGGCAGCATGTCAGACCCCTCTGGACCGGCAATATCACTCAGAAATCAGGGCCCTTCACAAGGGCAAGGGTCGTCGTAACCACAGGATTTTCACTTACACCGATCACGACCGCTACACCAACTGTCTTCCGCTCCACCAGCTGGTATTTTCAGCTCCAACTTACAGATTTAACACTGTCCCCCACTACAGCATTATAGGATGGTAGTTGTTATGCCATTCTCTTCTGTGTATGGAAAAAGGCTTGTAAGTCATTGTGGAACAGTACTGGTTATAGACCACACGCTCAAACATGATTTAAGAAAATGCCTCTGAAAGAGGACCGTGGCTTGACTTGGCAAGAATGACATTCTTCGGTCCTTTTTTATTTTTGCTACACTGCGTAGAAAGAAAATATTATTGTCGTTCTTTTTTGAGAAGTTAGAAGACGTTTTTTGGGTGTTTTTAAGGTGCCACTATTTATCAGTCATTTTATTTCGCTTTAATCCTATGATAGGATCATTCCCACTTAACCTGTCATTGTTAAAATTAAGAGCTGAAAATTTCTACTGTTCTTGTCTTTAACAATGTGTTGAAATGTAATGTTTTTTTTTATCCTAAAAGCAGCACACTGACTTACTTACCACAACCAAATCCAGCCCCACCTTCCTGGCTGAGAGGATGGCCAGTGTGAGACACAGAAGACAAGAAAGGCGGACCATGTAGGTGAAGGACGAGTGACAATCACCCTAATGACCCTGATTCTATTCTTATTGGAAATGCTAACAATTAGAGTTTTGTTGACTTTGAAATATATTCAGCTTGAATATATATACTTAATATAACGGTAAGGCATATTTTACAGGGATTCAAGTATCCCCAAGTCAAGAATAGTCAACTGGGAGCCAACAGAAGAGTTTGTGAAGAGCAGTCATGTGCTGAATAACCCAATGCAGACCATGCACATCATGGGAGACCTGGGCCCTCAGGGAAAGTAAGATAAATCTCATGTTATGTTACTTTCGCTGTTTATCTCTATAATGGAAATTTATGAGCAGCACTCACACATTTGCCTAATTTATCTGTTTCAGGGTATTTTTACAGGGTAAATATATGTTACCACAGACATCTGAGTTAACACAATGAAATCAGAAATACTTGGTAATCTGTACCTGCTCAAATTGCATTCTTAAAAATGTGACCATGTAAATTAGGTGGGTAGCTAATGTTGTTTGTAAATGTAGCATCTGAAATGGATATAGTTTGCTGTGCAATGCTGTCAAAAGTTTACAGCTCCACCTGAAAAGCTTCCTTATCTTTAGTTTTCCAACAGCTAGACTTTTTACAATCTTTTAAAGTGGTCTTGATAATTAGTTTTCTAGGCTTTTTTCGTTGAACATTAGCTAATTTTTCACTCCATTTCAGTCTCATATTTTTTTCCAATGAAAAAGGTATGTTTACTAAAGCGATGAACCAGTGTTGTGTCTGCATATGAAGACAGACAAAACTTGTCAATAGAATGGTTCAATAATTGTATAAAAGAGCACTGTTAACATATTTTTTGTTCCCATGCTCGTTGTTTTGTTATTTTTAAATACAAAGACAGCGCAGACATCGGTTTTAGCTATTAGCTTTTCACTTTATTTCACTTTATTTTGGTAAATTGTACATTAAACACAAGAAACAACAAAAGGAAAAAAACAATAGACAAACCCACAGTTTACCAAAAAATGAATAGGCCGAAGCAAAGCTTATTCTTGCCTACCCTATTTTAGCTTGGCACATCTTAGCATGGTGTCAGTCTCCTAGATTAAAACATGAGGAAAGTGGATGGGCATTGATGAAAATAAATATTTAATCTAACAAAATTATTTTAAGATGATACTTAGTATTTAAAAGTGAGGCCTTTAGGAAGCAGGGAGATTCAGTTTATTGCTGCCTCGTCAGAAATGGTCTCCATGGGTGTCTGCAAAACAGCCTCAAGGAAGACAAACTGGGAAATATAGCATAGTTTATAAAATAAGTGGTTTGAAAATGAGTAAAACTGGTCTGATAAAGTGGTGCATCCTAATTACTGAAGCAGTGTGGGATCAAAACAGAAGGAAGCCAGCATCCACAGAAGACCCTTGGAATGTCTTTCAAAAAGCCTGGAAAACCACATGACCTGTGTTGAGGGACAAAAGTACTCCTAGCAAATACTGAATTTTGAGCTTTTTATAATTGAAAACTGTCTTTTCCAAATATACCATTTATGGTTCGCATGCTTCGGTTAATTGCTGTGTCTACTGTTGCTGTTCCTGCTGACTGAAGACTTTTTCACAGGACTGTGATTCCCCAGGCTTTTTGTTTTCCTTTCTTCTTTACGGAAAAGCTGGTGTGCGGTTGTTCAGCATGGTGAATAAGCTGTCTGATTCCATGCCTCACTGGCCATGTCACTATTTACCAGGCTGGGCCAGAGAGAGAATGAATGTCTGTTGGTGACCATAAAAACCGATGGCAGTGGAACCGTCATTATGAAACCTGACTTCAACAAAGGGAGAGATCCGTACAGGTGAGCCTGCAGCTACAGGGAAACGTGGTATCTCCATTAGATTTTCTGTCGTACTATCATGTCCCAATAACTAACTGTGTTACATAAACATGAAGTGAACATTTAATTTAATATTTCTGCTAAACTTGCTCCTAAATCTCTGCCATAATGATCCCGACTGAAATACTAACATCTGTATGAAAAATTTTACGGGTATGGAAAATATTTAAATTAATTAGTGGATAACAATGAAAGAATTTCCAAAAAGTTAGAAAGCCTGAAAGCCAGTGTGTCTGTGCATTTGTGCAGGATTCTGACACAAGGAGAGAAAAGAGAAGTTTGGCGTCTTACTGTTGAGAACGTATCCACAGCCATGAAACCAGAGGAAAAAGACAGGGAGCAGAACATGTACAAAGACGTGAGCCATCACTGCTTCTTCCTGAGAGCCACAGATTAACCTTTCATGTAGACATTCTTGATTATGAAGTCAAATGGCAGCTATAGTGACATTTACACCATCACCTTTGTTTATTTCTAGCTTTATGTGAGTCACAAGGAGTACCTTAACAGCCTTGTAGGACAGGACTTTGAAATGGTAAGGATTGAAGCATGCATTTATTAATGGTGACCAACAGCTAAGGGTTGAATAGTGTTGCCTTCCTTATTATACTAACCGTTTAAATGGTTGAAGATCTGATCATCTTTAAAATAACAGTGTTATACCTTAAGCTTAAAAGACATGGTTTGAAACTTCATTGTGTTTTTTTTTTAATACAAGAAAAAGGAAATGGGCCTAGATTCTAAATGTGTTTGTCATTTTCTGAAGAAAGCATGACTCTCTTTTAACACCAGATTGCATTGTATTTATTAATTGGCCTTGCCGAGGTTTCTGCTCTGATATGATGTTTATCATTTAGCCCCCTGCAGGTATTCTGCGTTACATGATGAACGGAGAAATCGGTGAGAAGGGGTTCAGCTCAACACGTTTCTTTGGATTCATCAATACCATTTACAAGACTTCTATCTTTGTATTCCTCTACAGTTTTGGCAAAAGGCTTTGAATATGATAACTTATACATCCACTTCTACATGGAACTGCCCAACAGTGAGTCCCACAAAGTGTTTTGAACCGACTTGCGTTGCGTTGGTGTTGATGAGACCTATTTTAAACAATTTAGCATTTTATTATGTGCTTTAAAGGTTGGTCCAGTTTGCCATTTCAGTCTCTATCAGGTGTTACTCAGACCTGCCGGGCCAAGTCAATAAAAAAGGTTTGTATTTTACTCTATGTTGGCGCACAACTTCAGAGGAAAGCTGCTGGAATGGTATAACCCACAATTTGATCTCTGCCAACAGGAAAATGTAGCTTTGTTCGGATACCCCTTCAACTTCGAGGCATTTTACATGAGTGAAAAAGAGCCCGAGGGTTTGTATCAGCCAGTTAATGTAGACTTTAGGTGGCTTACAACATTTAAACAGCCTTGAAGTCTATGATGCCAAGGTTTCATTTTTTATTTTCAGAATCAATTCTTCAGTGGCCAGTGCTTTATTTCAAGGTCCTGTCTTTGGATTCCTGGCAGCGCTATCGAACTGAGGGCTATGGATATCTGCTTTTCCCTGCCGTGCCTGGTACTCTGCATGCACTGAAACCTGACTGCTGCATTTAATTTAGGGCTGTCATTGAGATAATCATACAATTTCAGAGTATTATTTTAGCCTATGTTTTCATCTAGAGTTTTAAAAAAAGTCATTATTAAAAATAAGTCACATTAATTGTTCTGCCTAAACACATGCAGGTAAAAAAAGAGCCTCCTTTTCTTTTGTTATATTTTCCACAAATTAGCCTCATCTGCTCATGTCCAAAGGGTTCCAGTCTGATTAAATTCTCAGGTCTTTTAATTTAATGTCTATTAATGTACTTATAATCCCAAGATTATTTTTAGTCCAAGTAAAGAAAATCCTCTTGATAGGGACTCATTTTTGGGATGAATTGTAATCTGTTTAATATATTACATTGCAATTTTAGTCCTGTCGGCGTCCACGCTATAGTTTGTGAGTATTTGTGTGTGTGTTCCAGGTAAACACACCCTAACTTGTCACACGTGGAGACCCCTTCAGATGGGGACCGTCTCTGCTCTGAGGCGCTTCTTCATCGGAGGTTCTGCTGAGCTTGAAGATCACAGCTATGTCCGAGTGCCAGGGACCTTTAAGGTGAACGCAAAACATCTAAGCCACACACAAGTTCAGGAAAAAAACAATTCTCACTCTGTTTTAGCAAGAAAAATTCAAATATACCCTGAGAACTTTCAGAATTTGTTCATTTTGTGTTCATTTACTTATTTTTTCTATTTAGTCTAATTTTTCCTGTTGTTATTATGCTTGTGTTTGACTTCAGGGAGAGAGACTGAGTCGCTTTGGCTTTTGCACTGAAACCACAGGGAGTGTCACCTTTAATCTGCACTGCATCCAGCAGGCCAGGTAATGACAGGATGGATTCAGAAGCATCCCACTAGACTTTAGTTGTCCTGTATCACCCATCTGCTCAGATGGAAAAAGTAATTAACTGAATGCAACGTACACACAGAGGTTTTTTCACATTTGCTGTTTGTTGGGTGTTTCAGGTCCTTTGTTGATGCTGCAGTTCTGAAGAAGAGAAGGCAGAGAGTTGCTGATCAGCTGGGAGGATTTAGTCAGCAGGGAGCAGTTTGCACTATTCTAGGTGAAAACAAAGCATTAATCTTCTGCGGGTTAAAAGCCTTTTTACGTGGTTTAAGTCCCGTGGTAGATGTATAAAGACACAGCTCCCTATATTAAATATAAAATGTTGCAGATTTTCAGCTCTACATTGCAGTTGGGTTTGCCATTAAACGAAAACCTTTTCAAGGAAAAAACATATCCTTATCTTCACATAGCGATGTCATAGCAATGATTTTTTGTCATCCAATTTTTTCTATCAGAGGCCTTCCAGAGAGCCAGGAGAAAGATGCAGGAGGCTAGAGAAAGTCTTCCACGAGACGTCATGAGTTCCACTTCTCAACTTCAACTTGAATCCTCAGCATAAGCATGAAATATTAACTTTACAGCTGAAGTTACATCACCAGCAAATGTGGCAATGCACTAAGTAACCTTAATGCTGTAATAGTGAATTCTACTAAAAGAGCAGAGCACAGCATATGGATGTTTTACTCTGTACTTGGACACTAAGATGGATGCTCGAGGAGTTACTGTTACTCATAAGAACCATGCCTACAAAGTAGAGTTTAACTTAGTATAGTATTATGTCGTTACCAGTTATCTCAAACCAGAGGTTTCCACTTTAGAGACACTACAATGAGGTAATTTTAAAGAATTTCCATGTTAATGGATGATTTCAGATTGTGTTCTAAATATTTTCTATGAAATAAACATTTGATACCAATAGATACCACCGTTTTTGTGACAGTTTCATAAAACACAAGATTGACTTTGGGAAATTACATATGACAATTAAAAGGCCAACTACATATTGTTAACATAACTATCAGTGTACTAAATGGAGCGCCGTAGGTGGCCCAGGCATCTGAGAAACATGGTATTCCAATGTCTGAGCCACCTCAACTGGCTTCTCCACGTGGAGGAGCAGCAGCTCTACTTTGAGCCCCTCCCTGATGACAAAGCTTCTCACCCTAAGGGAGAGCCCAGCCATCAGCCATCCTGTGGAGGAAACCCATTTCGGCAGCTGCAGCCTCAATTTTTACCCAGTTTGTCAATGAGGGTGTGATGTACACTATCCAATACACTGAAACAAACACAGTAAAAATATCAACCAAATAAGAAACCACCCTACACTTACATGAAAAATAACAAATGTATCCCTGTGTCTACATAAAGAGTTTATCTTCCACGAATAGTAAAAGCACTATGAGATTTATTTGGTCACAGGTAAAGTATATCAGCACTGGGCTCTCACTGACAAAGCTTTCTGAGGATATCAGTTGGCAAGAACCCCGAAATATAAGTTTGATGGACATTTATCTTCTGGGCTGAGCTCCCCCGTACATTAGGAGGACTGACCACAACAGAATGTTATGGGCCAGTTAGCTCTGACATGAACAGGTCAGCTCCTAATTCATGCAAATTTCATTGGAATGTGATAAGAAAGTGTTTTTGTGGATGTTCACCTTGAAGATTCGTATCTACTATAACAGAGAGAGAAAGAGAATCTGACAGCAAAGCCAGAGAGTTTAACGCAAGAGCATAATTGTATGAGGAATAAGAGAATCAGTCATTTCTATGGATTATGTTATAGCATACATAGCCCAATTCTAACAGACATTATATTAAGTTTTCAACTAGAGGTAACATCACATTATATCACAGTATAGCAGCCCTCTGCCTGGAGAGCATTCATCACCAGCCGGCCATGTGTTGTTATTCAAACGTTCATGAAGTTTTGAAGTGAATGCTCACAGCTAAGCTAGTTGGTAAGAGCTAGTAAAAAGACTGGACTCCAGGTGTGTGTTGAGTGAATGTAAATGTGGCTCCAGGTGTAGATAAAAGTTGCTCTGACTGAAAGTTTGTGAGCAGATACATATCCTTGGTTTGTTAAGCATCATGTTGTCTCCCACAGACTATTTGCTTAATTCTAATTCTTTCTGGAGAGAAGGTCAGATGAAAGAATCAGGCACTGCTGGGATTTGAACCCAGGATCTCCTGTTTACGAGACAGACGCTTTCACCAGCTAAGCTACAGCGCCTTGAGTGTAAGGGGGTCCATTTCAGTCTGAATTCTCTATTTCACAAGGATAGGTCAATAAACCATTAAATATTCGTCGGGAGAGGGTTATCAGACCGGATGTACATGTTTAGTGACACAGGGTTCATAGATGGGACCCACATTCCTATCATGGCTCCCTCACATGATGAGATTGATTATTCAAACAGGAAGGCAATTCACAGCATAAATGCGCAAGTACATCTAGATTGATTACCATTTCAAAATGTCAAAGACCACATCATAGTTAAACGTCTGTCATTTAACTATTGTATGTGATGCTGCATATCACATTTCAAATGTGGAGGCAAATTGGCCTGGGTCGGTCCATGACAATATATTAACACGGATATATATGTTATCTTTTTGTTTTATCAGGCAGTTATGGAGAGTGTGGTCAGGTATGGGATGACGGCATGGTTTTGCAGTCTCTCCGCACAGTCGTTTGAAACGCGTTTTCAGTTTTCAGTTGGAATAACACTTAAAAGGTTCTGCTTAGCCATTTATGTCCTTTTTTCCCCTTTTCATTTTCTTACTTGTTCTTTCCACATGCCTTTTTTTGTTTCCGTGTCTTCTGTTTACATTTTTCTTTCTGCTTTTTGATCTTTAGTTTAAATGCCCCACAGTTACCTGGAAATCAGAGTCTTGGTGCACATTACTTGCTGCTGATGAGCATAAATGGAGATAATCAGATATCCAATCAGCGGCACAGCTAGCCAAAACCGAAATATACTTGCGTTGGTGTAATAGCTATTTTATGATTTGGTGGCGGATTTACTGTCAGGGCCATTTTCAGAACGGACTTTTCAAGAAAGGTAAGTGAGTAAAATGTTACTTTTTACCTAAATAATATCGCGAGTTTATGGGGATCCATTTTTTTTAAAAGTCCGATCCCACACGAGCATTAGCATTAGCATTAGCATCTGTAACCCACAGGTCTGTGTCCTAAACTTTAAGTTGTTATTAGTGTAAATCCCTGTTCAACATGAGTCTGACAACTAAATAAGTAGATAAATAAATGTAAACTTTAATACAAAAAGCTGGATTGGTACATCCCTACTGTATTTCTACATAATAAGATGATTGCTATAACCATAAGATCGTTATTGAGGGGTGAATTGATTCAGACGGAACTAGGAAACCCTCAGGCCTAGGTGTGAAATGCACTGTCCGCCACTGTAATCTATCCATGTCTAGAGAGACCAGTCTCCAAAAATCAACAAACTTTTGGCGACTAAGCAAAAGAAAAACTCAACGTCTGGTGGAAAATAAATGAGTCATTTTCAGAGGTCAGCACTAAGAGCACCAAACAGCATTTTGACAAAGATGGGATTCAAACCCATGCGTGCTGAGCACAATGGATTAGCAGTCCATCACCTTAACCACTCGGTCACCTCGTCTCACTCAGGTACAGCTACACACATTTCAATTACGTTTCTCACAGGAAACCAAGCTGAACATGAGCAGTTTTTTTTAATAATCTGACTGTGATCTGTGATATGGTGAGTTGAGTTGCCTGAGCAAAGGGTTAGCAGGGGCTTCTGGGGGCACCCAAGGTGTTCAGTTTTTCGCATACGTACATCCAGCCTCATGGTAATGTCAGGAAGCTCTGCTGCCCTTTGGCTGATAGAGTGTAAAAGTGTAAAACTCACATTTGTATCCAGTATAAGCATATTTGAATATGTGCTCTATGGATTCGAGGGCAGATCTACACATATTCATCCACCAAGTGTTGAAATCTAGCACAATAATGGCTATTTCTGCCTGGTTACGAACAAGGGACCTTCCACCATATGCCAGGCAAATGTGATGACCACCACAATAAGAAAGTTTTCCAACAACGTGTTTTCTCTATCAAACAGAGCTGATGGCAGTGATAGACACTGTGCAGGGTGATAGAAATGTATGTATCCCCCAGCACAAGCAGGGGAAGCAAACAGTCAGAAGTGGGAGACCAGTAACTCTGGAAGAACACAAGCCTCCAAAAAAGCAGGACAGCAAACAGATGTAAGAAGGAATTTAATTGTGTGTCAGAAGAATTCAGAGCCATTCTCCTGTTTAAAAGCCCACATCATTAATGTCTGATGATATATGAGTGTACATCAGAGATTTCTATCTTTTCAAACTGAACTGGAACAGATGTTGTGTCTTCTGAAATGACTGTGGCTTGTTAAGGGACCAGTGTAACTGAAGGTCTCTGCTCACAATCCCTCTGTGTCTTAGATGCTGCATAGAGGTTTTCCAGTGATCACACCACTCATTGCTCATTTGTCTTCCATTTTTCTGAACAACGTAGGCATCGGCCCATGATGGTGAACAACACCAATGCATAGTTATGTCGACTTGTGTAAAATTGTTAGTCTGATGAAATGTGCCGTTAAGTCTGCTGGAGAGGCATTGGTGGTATAGTGGAGAGCATAGCTGCTTGCCAAGCAGTTGACCCGGGTTCGATTCCCGGCCAGTGCATCAAAGTTGCTTTGGATTGCACTTGCCATTGCATCATATATTCTTAAAAAGAATTGCACTTATGCTTGTGTGTAGAAGAAGCAAAGTCCTTAAAAAAAATCAAAGGATAGGTATTAGGCCTGTTCCCCCTGGCTTTTCAGAAGTTTCAGGACAGAATCCCTTTTCTCTGATGAACTTCAATCATTACAGGATAGATTATATGTTTTATGGCACTCAGTCATTCCCCTATGATTATATGACTGTAGAAATTAGAGAAAAAAAAGCTTGCAGAGAAGTATACACCAACTCTGAATTCCAGAAGATACCAAGGGCTTTCCTTAATGTAGTCAGTGTTGTCATTATGTTTGGTCTGCAGTGAAATAAAGCCCTCTGTATAAAGTGCTCATTTCAGTTTTTTTTATTTAAAAAAAGGGTTCTGCAGACTCCCTCTTTGTTTTGGTGGTTTCTGGGGAATGGAAAAAGTGGTCCGTTGGTCTAGGAGTAGGGTTCGAGAGGTCCCAGGTTCAAATCCCAGACCAGCCCTTACAACCTAGGTGGTTTTTCAACAGTACATGTCAGGTAAATTGAAAAAATGACAGGGTGCTGTTGTCATCTAGTGGCAATATTGTGAGGAACAACCCAAACCATAGTTATATCACAGGCCGACTCAGGGGGCATCTTGAGCTACCCAATTATGTTGGGAAATCCCAAAAAGAACAAATAAAAATCTGAGATTCCAGCACAATATCATTAAAAAAACATAATTTCAAATTAATCTAACAGATCATTTACCTACAATCCAGTAGAACTCCTCCTTGATGGCTTGAATGAGGTTATTCCCCTGGAAATGAACAAGGCGGGGAAAAAACCCTTTCAAGGCCAGGCAGACCTTACTAAGAAGTTCAGTATATTCCACTTTATGGAAGAAATAAAGCTATAGATTAAATGTAAAAAAAAAAAAAAACGCAACATTACAAACATGCTGGAATGTGAGAGCATTAATAACATAATGCTGCAAATGTGTGGACGGATAAGGTGGTGGATGTATGTGATGGATGTGAGGTCAAAAAGATCATTCTCTGGATATGAAAGAATGTCTACAGGTGCTCTGACAACTCACTACCGACGTATATTTCATTCT